ATGGTATCAGTGGTCATGATTGCGGCGGCCTTGTCGTTGACAGTCTCGCCGCTGCCGACCTTGATGCCGGTGATGGCGACGAAGTAGAGGTTAGGGTCAATGTTCGGCGCCTTGTCGACGCCGACTGGGATGAGCGGGGTAGTGGTGCTCTTCCGACCACCACCTTGCGCCGGCGCCGCGGCGTCGCCGAGCCACACGAAGCTCCTAAGATCACCGTCGATGAAGTAGGCGAACCTCCAGAATGACGCACCGAGGACACTGCGCCTGCCGAGGCTGACGATGGCATCCATGCCGGAGGAGGTGGAGCATGTGTACACAACCGTATCATTGGAGAAGATTCGCCGGCCGCCGAACGTGGACACGAAGACAGCCCCCTGCCGGAGGTCGCCGGCGTCCTCCTGACCAGCGGTATTCCTGCAAACTTCCGCTCCGCCGCCACCACCGCCTTCGCCGCCGCACTAGCTGGTGACGGTGACCTCGCTGGTGACGTCAGCGACGCCCACCATCTGCCACCAACCCGCGAGAGAGTGAGAGAGGAAGAGTGGAAGAGGAATATGACAGGTGGGTCCCTTTTTTATAAATAAAATGCCGACTGGACTACCGCGTACGGCACGTAGGAAAAAACCGCTCTAGATTAGGTCGAGGGTGGTAATTTGTCCGGTATTGAAAGTTCAGGTTAAACAATGTCTGGTTTTCGGGTTTAGGGGATAATTCGGTCAACCGCGATAGTTCCCGGGGGGGAGGGGGTAATTCGTACTTTTTCCTTCTTATAAATTAAGAATAACAATACATGTAAGTGTGTAGATGAGGTCACATTAATTAGTCTTTAGGGACTAAGGAATGGGTCCTTTTTTCCTAAAATATTAGAACGTTTAATTTGTCTCCTCAATTACTAGTACTAGCGCCAAATGCCATTTTTGTTGTGGTTATAACTTACAACGGTTGCTAAGCACACAAATGCACCTCAAATTAAATTAAAGGTTTGCCATAGCTTTGGCTCCCGATAAATACAGATATTGACATATTGTTCCTAGCTAGAACCGTGCACTTCTGCGCTGAATTAACGATTCCAAGTTGTTGGGAACTTTTTTTTTGGCAATAAGACAATCAGGATCCGGCACCTAAACACCTTGTGGTAATATGGAGTTGACAACCACCTCGATCTAGCCAAAAACCAAATCAAGATGGGTTTTGTAAAACTAGCAATTGGTTTGATGAGGCTAATGGAGAGCTTTAATTTTGTATTCATCATGAAGATGTTTTTTTTCATATTACTAATGAGTTATCTTTGATGTTGCAAAGGAAGGATCAAAACATTGTGCAAGCTATGTCATAGCTTATTGATGTAAAAAAAACATGTAGAGTTGGTCAATGTGAGCAATGATGGTTAGGAGCCGTTACTTGAAGAAATTAAAACATTTTGTGAATAATACAAGATTCCAATACCAAATATGAGTAAAACAAGACCAAGATAGGGCAGATCAAGGCTAAGTGGAATCATAGTCACTCAAGACCATCACTATCATATTGATGTTTTCTGTGCTGCGCTTGATGTTATCAACACGGAGATGAATCACCGCTTCAATGAGACTTATTCTCTATGTCTGATATGAGCAAGATTGCTCGACTTACTCAGAGATTTATGAGAAAGATTTCTCAAATTGTGATTGTGCCGCTATAAAGGATCAAATTGAAACCTTCATTCTGCATGTGCGAAGAATATAGGATTTTATTGATTGCCAAGAATTTGCAAGTCTAGCTAAGAAGATGGTTCAAACCGGGAGACATATTGTATATCCATTGGTCTAACGTATTATTGAGTTAGCCTTGCTTCTACTAGTTGCAACAACAATTGTTGAAATAGTGTTCTCGGCTATGAATATCAAGACTGGTTTGCGCAATAGGCTATCCAATGAGTGGCTTAACAACTTGATGTTGTGGTATATTGAGCATGATTTGTTTAATGCCATCAAGAAGTAGTTCCAAAACATGAAAGCTAGGAGAATGCAGCTACTTAAGTCTCCCAGCAAAACAACCAAAATTAGTGCTTTAGTAAGTCTTTTGGCTTCCTTTTCTTTTAAAAAGCATCAACTACTAAGTATATATTGACCCTTATACTTTGCTTATTTGACATGTTATAATTGTTTTATATTATTTTAGGGCTAAAGGTCAACTGTGATGTGTAGGACATCAACAAGGTATTTTCTTGTATCTATTGTGTTCTTCTTTTTTTTTTTTGCATGTTTGCATTCTCGTAGTTGATGTTGACTCAATTAGTATATAATCTATTTATGTTTGTGATTGCAATGTGTGCTTTTTTAATGTTTTTTTTCTTGGTTGGATCGCAATGCTCTTAATCAACTTGTTCATCTCTGCTATAGCTATGTTTGTTTTCCTATGTCCGCTACTACATCGTAGTACCATGATACCTTGAAATATCAATATGTATCTTGACCTAGGAATCACCATGATAGCTTTATATATCATTATGCATTATCTTCATGTGTGTCTCTGTGATACCTCGAAGATATACCACAAATACTTCAAGTATCATGATGATACCATCATTTGTACCTGGATATATACATTGAGATATTGATATGCATTATCTTTGCATGTATCTCCGTGATACCTTGATGATAACTAATATCGTGATACCTCCAAATTAAATATTTATCTTCGTGCATATGCAGCCGTCCATGCGGTGGCACATGGGGTCAAGATCATAATCTATACCGTTTCAAGACAGTGACATGATTTAGTTGCCCTCTATTTTGCGAGGATTTTCTCGTGTGTATGATGTTATAGGAATTCAAGTTGTTACTAGAATCATACACATGTATACACGTTGCAACTAGCAAGCGCTATGATGGGAGTATTAAGCCACACTTCATCTTACATTTTATAGTTATATCATGTGATACGTGTGTAGTCATATTTCTAGACATGCCAATGCATAAAGACATGGTAGGGCGCATCTCCTCGCATGCTACTAAACGATTAGATAGTGTGAAATGAAATAAACACGTAATGTGTAAATTAAATGGAGGTAATTATGGGTGTCGCATGGTAGCAATTCAAGTTCAAGTTCGCAGTCATCGGTTCAAACAATGAGGACTACTATACCGCATGCACTGATTATAATGGGGCAAGAATCCATGCAACATGCATAGCACTTGTATGTTATCGTGTTGATTATAGCATTTCTATAACTAAATGATACATTGCACCTTGCTGTGGGAATTCCTAAAAAATAATAAAATAAAAATAAAATATTATAGACAATGATGTTTTAGGTGAAGAGAATGGTGTACGAGAAATAAAACAATTATTGTACGTACATAAATAGAATTAATATAGAAAAGTTTAAATATATAGATGACAAACGACCAAGAATGCACACGGAAGTAATCCAATGGGAGCAGCATAGCTATCTCCAACCTAGTTGTAACAACAACAATATGCTGATAGTTTCTGATTCTTTGGAATCTTGAATTGAAAATCTTGTCACTTGGAGCACTAGAGGTAAGAGTTAACTTCCATATGGTTTCTTGAGCATCATAATTTGCCACAAAAATATTAGTAACACCATGTCACCTCAGTTATTTTAGCATTTGCATTTAAATAATTGATGTAAGGTATAAATTATCTATCCTCTCTTATAAAGCTATATCACGCATATGTATGCGCTATACCATTTGGATAATTGATCAAAGGTGCAAAACACGTGAAGTAAACTGTTGTAACGAGGCAAATCCATTCTACATTTTATATCTACCATTTAGTCATGTACTCAGTTTGGTCTATATTATAAGACGTTTTGGCCTCTTCATTTTTTTTTATCTAGGTTCACTGACATCCTTAAAAAGAACACACTGGAATTAATATGTGGGCTAAGGTACATATGGAGATTAATTATTGGGGAATCACAAAAGCCCATCTAGTGGGAAGGCGTGGATGTAAGAGTGCTCTTCTAATCAATTGAGACATGTGTGGTGGAGAGAACTAGAGGAACACTCGTATACGAGATGCACGTGAATGGTCCACTGATATAGACTCCTCATGCTTGTGAACACTCGTATACGAGATGCACGTGAATGGTCCACTGATATGGACTCCTCATGCTTGTGTAACCTCTACGAGTCTTCCACAATGGCTCGTCTTTCTCTACGCTCGAGGGTGTCGCGCTGACAACAACATTTTTGACACCGCACGTCATGCAGTGCATGCCGCTCCTCGTCGACTAAATCCACACCATAACAAGGAGTCTTCCACAACGGCTCATCTTCCCCTATGCTCAAGGGTTGCGCACTGACGACAACATTTGACACCGCACGTTGTTCATGCGATGCATGCCGCTCCTCGTCGACTAAATCCAGACCATAACCAAACCCTCCATAAATGTTCATCATATTCCGCCTATTTGCCTTATTCATGATTTACTGTCTAATTTAGATCACATGATGTTTACATGTTTAACTAGTTCACATGTTCAACATTATAATTTATTTAAATAAATTATATCAGTATGTGCTTATATTTCCATCAGCACATACATAGAAATACATGAATCTATTTAAAACATAAAATATCTTATAGTGTGAAACATCATATTTGAACAAGTATAAACCCTAAGGACAAGCAAGCAAGCATCAATGCCACCTATGGATTTGGACCGGCCGGGTGAGGAAACCGGGAAATTAGGACCATAGCCACCATCATTATAAGATGATCATGTTGCAGATATACTTCAAAAACCTTACGGCCCATTGTTTCACTTATTTATTTGTAAAAAAAATTGAAAAAAAAATTGCATACGTGTTCTTAACAATCTTAAAGCAAAGGCAAAAAAAATAAACTTCGATTAAAAAAAACTCAAAATCAAAAATTCAAATTTTGACCGATAAACATAAACCAAAAGATGGGGCTGTTAATAAATAAGTAAATAACCATCCTAAAATAAACCAAATATAAGTAATAGAAATAGCGCTAAAATAATCTGAGTGTTCAAATGTACAACAATTGACTTGGCATAAAAATGAGATTGAACATTTCCACCTCGTCTTACAAGCGTATATCTTGAGAGCTAAGTGAGTATAATGAAATACAATAAATTCATAAATTCCCCATAGATACCGAAGATATTCATTTCAACGGAACTCTATACATGCAAATAGCTATGTACAATCACTTACATCGGTATTCGAGATTCTTCAGCACAGTTAAAAAAATAAAGGCAGCCAACTTGTTCAGCTGCCAGTCTTTCGCGGATGGAGTTCTCACCATTATCGAAGGTCAATCACATCAAACTTTACATCGGGGTTCATATACACATGGGAGCAATGCTCATAAATTGGTGAACCATCTAGAGGGGCCTTATGAGGATGGAATCCTCTCTCCGGGCAATCATGGATCACACCCATACCGCCAGGATCAGAGAGATGAAATATACCATGTTTTCTGTTCAACAACACATTCAAGATCACATGATCATCTAATGCACAGTCCATATTCAACATGGTTCAAGCTAGCACAAGCAGACAATCACAAGCTAGCAAGCACAAGCAGACAAGCAAACATTATGTAGACTATTAATTCCGCTTCAAAAAATTTTCATCAATCTTATAGGGTAAAAAGAAACTGCAGCGAGTGGCTTAACAATGTACTGCTAGAGATATGTACTGCTAGAGAACGTAAAAACAAAGACGTTCCGATGTTATTGAGGAAATTGTAAGCACGAAATTGTACTACTCGGTCAGAGATGCAACAGATTGCACATTTGACCTAAGTTGAAAGATGCAAACTACAAATGCTTCAAAATTAGCATCCCAAGAAGCAAACTACTCTCTCCGTCCCAAAATATAACCATTTTTAGCATAGTGCCAAGTCAACTATTTTTAACGTTAACTATTAATAGCAAAAGAAATAAAAGAGAACAATCATGTAAAACTGATGTTACTAGATTTATAATATTAATCAAACTATCATAACATGTAAATCTTTTTATTTAAAACATCTTATTTTTATAGATATTGTTGGTCAAAGTAGCATCTCGAGGACTGTGTCGAAATCCAAAAATGCTTATATTTTGGGACGGAGGGAGTATAAAAGAATTGACTCAACTGGCTGCCAAATGCACAAGTAAACGTCACAGAGCAAATCACATACCTTCTTGTGTCAGTAGGTGCCATAACTATTGCAATTGCTTCAGGTAACATCACCTGTTGGTATAAAAGATCAATTAGCAAACACATGAACAAATAGAAAATAATGTTTTTTTTCTTTCATGAAATGATTTCAGGCAGAAAATTCTGACATAGAAACAATGTCGTTCAATTTACCAGCCAGTACATACTAAGCAAATTAGCAGGGCGCATGCTACTCTAGTAATTAATTGAACACGAGAATACATAGAAATGAAACCATCATATCATATTGGATCTAACCATGTCTGGGTATGCAATAATATTCTGAAGAAAATCAACAGATAGCACAAAACTTTGCCATGAGCACTGGGTAAATTGCACATGTCATGAACAGATTCCTGTGTTACCTGGATACGCCAAAAAGCCACGTATTCGTATCAGATACACGAAAGGATACGGATGCGTGCATTGGATAGGGTCCAAATGATACGTATACCGTATGTATCAGTGATTTTCATTGTTTCCATGTAAATAAAACAAATCAGGATACTTCCCCGATACATATCCCAATTCCTCCCGGAAACGAAAACTATGCATCGCTTCATCCTGGCAACCATTCACAATGTGAGGCCCTTGTTGTTCTCGTTCAAGACCGCCGTCAATGGAAGCGGAACACAGTGTCGTTGTTGACAACAGAAGCCAAATGCAGTGCCGCTGTCGATGGAAGCCAGGTGTAGCGCCAGATGCCAAATATGCAGTGGTGCAGCACTGCCGCCGCCGTGGAGCGTAGCACTGCCCCCACTGCCATCCTCCATCGCCACCACAAACGCCACCGTCACCAGCCACTAACTTCATTCATCCCCAGTGAGGCTTTGAGTTGTTGGCCCTTCCAACTTTCTTGTTCCCCTTTTCTATTTTCTTAGTACAAGTGCTATGTAGTTTAGAGCTGATGAATTTCGGATTAGCTAATGTGCGGTTGATATGTAGCTGCAAATTCATAGAGGAACTAATGGGCCAGCAAAGCAAGGGCAAACTAACATGCTACCCATGCCATTCAGTGGATTGTGGAGGTAAGTTTGAGTTATTGGAGAAGATAGAGAAAAGTTAGAGAGGAAGACATGATGTACTGTTTATTACTGATACTTTTTTGAAGGCTGTCACTGGTATTACAATATTCTGATTTCCTTGCACGAGTCATATTATTTTCTACATGTATAGATGATTCCTATATCCATGTTTTTTTAGAGAACGCCGTATCTCCGTATCTACATATCGCGTATCCGTATCCCCATATGTGGGTAACATAGACATTCTTTTTCAGCTCCTGGTCTAAGGGTGATCAGTGCATTGCAGACATTTATAATTTCACTACTGGGAAACATCCTGACAATTACTCTAGGACATGCATTTGTTTGGTGTTTTCCTCATAGAAATCAATGAGAAAACAGTTATAAGATTAATATCACAATAAAGTGTAGGCAAGACAACATAAATTACTTCAATAGAAATTGCAGCCCCAAGTGGTAATGCTATGTGAGATCCAATCTGACAAATATTACCTGATAAGAATAATGATTATGGAGATCAATGGAAGACAGGAAGCAGGACTGTGTTGGATGTGTCTGGAAAAAAAGAACAGAAAAATGATGTCAGAAGAAACAGAATATTTTAACGCAAGAAAGCAGGCCCAACAAATTATACTCACAGTTGTTCTAATCAAAGAAAACAAAAAAAAACGTTGCATGAGATGTGTAATTCAGTTTTATCTACTGAAACCGCTCATAAATATTGACACAGTCATAGAACTGCCCTATTTGTGCATGAAAAATGAATGATATTTTGGCAGCATTTTCTGACACTTAACAATGTACTCCCTCCGGTTTTTAATAGATGGCGCGGTTAACTTTTTGTCACACATTTCACCATTCATCTTATTTAAAAATTGTGCGAATATGCGAAAATGAAAATCATGCTTAAAGTATCTTTAACGATAAACCAAGTCACAACAGAATAAATAATAATTATGTAATTTCTTTGAACAAGACAAATGGCCAAACGCGTGTAAAAAATTCAATGGCATCATCTATTAAAAACCAGAGGTAGTACTATGTAATGCCGTGCACAATAGTTGAATTCCAATGTCGTATATGTCCAAAGAAGAACTGAAGAAGACAAAATCTGAATCCTAAACTGCTAATAGATGCTGAAAACTCAAGCTTGATAACAGGAATGACAACTTTAAGCATGTACCAAGAATGCCCCTCTTGAATATGGGCAATCGAGTATTCTACCAACAAGTTTCAAAAAACAACCCACTGACATGCCAACTGAAGAATTTGATATCACATTTTCATTCCCAGTGTTAAAGAAGAGATTAGGCTCTTTTACATGGCAGAGAAGGAGCTCATCTTCAATATTTTTTTAAAGAAGCTATCAAGTTGGATTACTAATGTAAAGATGTTCATCTTCACTGATGAAGTGATATCTTTATATCAAATATAGTAAAATAAGTGCTGGTACCAATTTAAGGTATTATTACAGTAGATGTACCCTATTGACTTGAGCTGTTGAGCAAACAACAAAAGGCATCAATGGTATCAAAGTTTCATTGAACCAGACTTACGTGAATCCAACCAAGAGTGAAAAGCGAGCCCTTGTCCTGAACATCAAATAATTCATCTTCATTTGTCGCTTCACACTGTAAAATAAAGAAAGCCATGTAACTCAGTTGTCTCTTGAAGTGTCATAATTATATACTCATTCAGTAACATGTATAACTGAAACTATGAAGCATGGAACAAATATGTCGACCGAGATAGTAACATAGAATATTTATAACTTACTGAATCAGATGTAGATTTCTGCTTTGGAATTATCAAGGCAGTCACATAAAAGGTTCTCTTTTTCTACAGGAAAATATAACAAAATTTAAGTAGTCCAGTTAAGCAGTCCAGTCAAATCACTCTTCTTATTTTCTTTGGGGAATGTACATACCAGGGTACCAGCAAGAACTCCACATGTTTCTAAACTTCTCTTAGTGTTTGCCTCAGCAACCCTTAGAAAACATTCCATCAACTTTACCGGCTAATAAGAAAGTAGCATTGAAATCATCAGTGAAATTATGTCAATAGTAACAATACATGCAAATAAAATGCAGATAGAAGAACACTACTCAAGTGCTTAGTGTAAAGCTGTAGGTCCAGAACAATATTATAGTTTCAACTTTCAAAGGATAGTGCATATCTCAACTTACAACATGTAAGTTCTGATAACGCCCGGTTTCTGAGACAGCAAGTCCTGGTGTTGGATCTGCAACTTCTGATGGAGCAATTGGCCTGCGCTCTAACTCTGCCAAGACTGGAGGAGGTGAAGGCTGTTTGATACTCAATTGGGATAATTCTTCTTCCAGACTAACAGAAGGTACAGAGGCGCATTCCTCTGCCAGCTTAGACCATCGACCATCATCAAGGGACAGAACAGATTTCATATCATCATTCTCAATTTGAGTGCTATCTGTGGATATTGTACTGGGACCATTCTGACCATCTTGGTTCAAGACAGATGGAAATAAACTGCATAAGCAAGACAGTGCTAATGTCACATGATAAGAAACATAAAGTTTTCAGCTGAGAGTATGAACTAATTTCCATACAAATATGATTAATGTCCAGCTGCAATCCCTACTATTGCAACAATGTGAATAAGCACTTCTGCTTTCAAATTTGGATGTTTCCTCCTTTCAAAATATATCTATTTAGTAGAGCCATTTGACATTTCTGTCAGGTGGTTCTATACGTATGTAGCACGTCATCACTAAAATTATTTCAAGAAAATGCTTTAAGCTTTTGTGTAACTGACAAAATGCCTGAAAGAAAACATCGCTCTATATAAAATACAAGGCATCTTTTCACCTTGCAAAGCCTCTGGAATTGAACAATTACCATTAATTTTTCTTACAATATACTAATAGTAAGTACAAAATTAGGTTAATCTAGAATTATTTCCATATGTGAATTAAATTTATCAGCAGAACTTCAGTTGCCAGGCACCAATATACTCATATATTGCTGAATTAATTATTGACAAACTTTAAAAAATGGATTATAAAATAACCGGGTTCCTACCCACAAAAGAAAAAGAGCGAACTGTACTTTAGACTACCTTTTAGAGTAAATTACAGTTTGGGCCACCTTTTATTGCCAAAGTTTCACTTTGGACCACCCCTAAACTAATATTTTCACTTTGGATCGGGTAACTTTGCCATATTTCCAGTTTGAACCACCCAACTCTCTTTACTATTCATGTTTACCCTCTATTCTGGTGAAGATATGGCCTGCATATAGACGATGAAGTTCACCGATGTATCGAAACCGATTTGATTGAGATTGTTGATGGGCGCTGAAGGAATTGTTTAGGGTGGTCTAAACCAAAAAAATGGTGAAATTACCCGGTCGAAAGTGAAAAGATTGGTTTAAGGGTGGTCCAGAGTGAAACTTGGGTAATAAAATATATGGCCCAGATTGCAATTCACTCCACCTTTCATTACCAAAGTTTCACTTTGGGCCACCCTTTACCTAATATTTTCACTTTGGACTAGGTATTTTTGCCTTCTTTGCATTTTGGACCACCCAAACTTTCTTCGCGAGCATATTAACAGCCTCAAGCTCATCGGCACCTTCATGCCGATGATCTCCCCTGTTTAGGTGTAGGTCACATCTTCTGCCGGAGGAGAGGTTGGACATGGCTAGACAAAAGCATTATGGTGATCCAATGTGCAAGAAAGGGAAAAATACCTAGTCCAAAGTGAAAAGATTGGTTAAAGGGTGGTTTGAAGTGAAACTTCGGTAATAAAAGGTGGCCCAAAGTGCAACTCACTCAAAAAAAAACTGTAGGGCTATTAGAAAATAACTGAGATAAATGTTCTGGGATACCTATGTGATCAACAAAAGTTCTGTCAAAGAGACAACGTAATTTTTTTAGAATTAAAATATTAGTACACAGAAGGCAGTAAAAAATATAAATATCATACAATAATAAAAAAATATAGATGAATTCCACCAATAAAAACAAAAAAAATATAAGATAGTAAAACTCCACGAAAAGACATTACTGAATATTCAATCTGTTTTACTTTTTTTTTGTATGGTTGTTTTTTACAGTTTTTTGTAACTTCTGTTTTAATGGATCTTTGTAGTTGTGTACTATTTTTTTAGAAGCAATTTAATTCTTACAGAAGTTCCAAGAAACACTGAAGTTCAAATGAAGTTTATGGAGCTGGTAAGCTATGAAGATAATTAGTAAGATAAACTTTTCCGACTTGAAAGAAGTTCAACACAGGGTTTGGAAGAAGAAAGAGACAAGTAGAAAATATAATCACTTTAGAGATATTAAGCTGTAAGCATCTAAATTCTCACCTAGACACATCGCTTTTTATTATATCAAGATTGCTTGGATACTGAACCTGCAACAAGCAATAAGGAAATCAATAAGACTATGGATGTCTTCTCTATGGTTAATTTTTTTTCAAGCAAACACATTCAGAGAATGAGGAAAATAACCGTACCTTGATTGCAGTAACAGGCCCAGTCCATTGCCCATGAAGCCCATTAGGTCCCAATATAGAGTGTCTAGCTAATGTTTCTTCTTTAGGGAAAGGGAGATTTGCAAGTCTGTTTAAAATAGACGGCAAATGATAAGTTTTTAGTCTACTAGCACAAATGGCTACAAATATGTCAGGGATAAATAATGAATTTGTCTATTTTTCCAGGAAATACATTGACAAGAGAGTCAAATAGGAATAAAGAAAACACTTAATCAAAAGCATGCAAATAAAAGTAACATTCTTGCTATAACTCTTCTATAAGTTGACTAACTTTAACCGATGCTGCGAACCAACTGGCCTTCTTTAATATTTTCTATTGCCATGTAATGATGTTTCACAGCTTTACATTTACAACTATGGCATGCGCGGAATCAACGATTACCAAATACCCTGGATGCAGTATAGAATTTATGTTCATCGATTTATACTGTTATACAATTGTAGCCCATCGAAAAAATCAAGTGATAAATACAGCTGGTTCATGCAAGAAAAATGTTATTTTTTATATTAAAAAAGACTGTACTGTACAACTAGTGATTGATTTCTAAATATCTCCTAACTGAAGACTTAGATCTGTGACCTGTTGCACATTATGAACTATGAGCATGTTTGGTGTGGAGGAGAACCAACATATTCCAAAGGAATCTGCTATTTTTGTTGAAAAAAATAGTGAAATTCTTGAACACCCAATTTAATTTAGGGCACATGAATGGTCTCTTACCTACAAGCAAAATTTTGGTCTTAAATCTTACCTAATTGAGTCAATCAAGTTCTATGATGTTTTAGGTAAGCTAATAAACATGTCTATTGAGTTTCCTTTCCTTAATTAATAGCTCACAGTATCAATATGAAAAGTAATAAATGTCTACTTTTTATTTAAGACAGATGAAACACCCAAAACATACATATAAATATGACTGAAATATACACATACTGTTTGCGGGTCAGTCTATCAGGTTGAGCACTCATTAATGGTGCCATTTGATGATTCCCACCAGGGACAGGTCTTTCAAATGATCCATTGTTGCTTCCTACAAATGGCTGAACAAGAAAGTAAACCAGAACAAGCACTTAGAAGCTGACCATAATGAGAGAGAATAACCATAACAGGCTTATATATATATACCTGATATGTATAAGGATTTGTCATATGCTGTTTTGTTATATTATTTACAGCAATGGTTCCATTTATACTATTGGATTCGATGGCACCTCCTCTTGCTCTGTTATGCTCAGTGATTTGCCGCTGCACAACTGGCTTCAGTGACTCAAGCTCACTGAGCACTTCAATTAGTTTCTATGACAAAATGACAGTTACTTAGAGACAGCTGATAGAGCAAAGAACATCGTTATCCATAATTAAAAACAATCAACTGGGATCCACTAGACAACTTAAAACCATATATATACACAGTAGTAAAGCGAGAGGAATTACAGATTGATTATGTGGAGCAAGCCTGAAGAAATCCACTTCTCTCAACTTGAATGTATGGTAGTCACGGTGCTTTGGAATCGTCTCGCAAACCAAGCTGCAACAATACATACGTTTGGTGTGACCCCGGAACTTCACTAGAACAAAAAAAATATCAAGATAATTCAGCTACCAACCCACCTCGAGTAACGCAGGAGGATGACATACAGGTCGACGAGATTATTCTCGTCTCGATATATCTTAGCCTGCGCAAAACCACATCGAAGCACCCAGCATTAACACAATTCGGTACCGGAACCAAAAGAATCGACGCTAATCGCGTAACGAAACAATCCCCAATTCATCGAATCCCGACAGCCCCCAACCACAATCAGCGTGCTACAGCGAAATCGCGCAAATTGATCTACCAAAGTCGGCAGGCGCTCTCATCGACCAGGAGGAGGGATCTGGCGTCCCGGGAGGGATTCACCACGGGGGCGGGCCTGACCTGGCGGAGGAGGTTCCCGGCGATGCGGAAGTAGTAGGGGAGCTTGATGCGGTGGTCGACGGCGATCGGGCGCGCGCACGCCTCGATGTCGATGCCGCCGCCCCTGGCCTGCTGCGGCGGCCCCATGGCGGGCCACTCCTCTGCGAGTGCCGCTTCTCCGGCGAGCTCCGCGGCGGCGGCGGCGGCGGCGGCGGGGAATCGGGCGGGCGAGGCGGGGGTTGGGGTTAGGAATGAGGTAAAGTGGACTTTTCTTGGTGGGGTGTGGCGGTGAAGGAATTCGATCACGTTGCTGGACTTTGGGTACGAATACGATACGATACTGCGATTCGGCTTGTTTTGCGTTTGCACCCTTGGAAGGTTTTGAATTTTCCTGTTATCTCCTCTTTGGCTCTTTGCAGTTTAGCCCCTCGCGGAGTTGTCATTTGTCGAGACGATCTGGCCACATATCGTCAACATGTCAACATAGTTAGGTGATCCTCTTTTTTTTTTCATTTGTGTTCTTATCTCTTGCTCTGTTTATCCTGAATGTACGATAACTTAGTTAGGATATAATAATACTCAGTTAGGATATACTATACGATATATGCTACAATATTATGTATAATTTATCCCCTCAAAAGAAATTTTTATCTATTGTTTTAAAAATTAAATAATCATAAATATGCTAATATATCCAATGTTTATCAAATGCAACAATAGTCTCTCAACAGTGAGGAAGAGAGCAAGTAAAACTAGAAGTCCTTGATATGTGGACACTCTACGCACATAATGCAGGTGTGAACCATCCTTTTGTCAACACTAACTACTCATCAAAGTGTGCCACGTAAATATAACAAGCTAGTGCCTATACTCCAATTTTTTTCATACTCAAATTTCAATCAAATTTATAGATAAATTTAGCAATATTTATAATATAAAATTAGTTTCACTAAAACTAAGTTTTAATATATTCTAATAATATGTTAATTTTGCGTTAGAAATATTGCTATATTTTTCTATAAATTTAATCAACTTTAAAAAATTTGAAAAAAAATCAAAGTGACTTATAACACGAAATAGAGAGTATCTATTACAACAAATAGAATAGCTTGTGGACTGGGTCTGTTCGGCAGGCAGCAGGCAGGTGCAGCCGCTGGCCTTTTTTGCTTGTGAAAGCTTGCTTCACTGTTCGTATAGGCTGCAGCACTGCTGCAGCCGAACACACCCATGCAAAAGGAGCACTTTTTTTTTTTTTGTCCCAGGGTGAAAAGGAAATATTTTGTGTTATGCGCCAATGAATAAGCTTATCGTCTGCGCAACCAAGCAAACCATTACTCTGCCTTTACTTGCTAAAGATAGAGAAGCGCAGCACTATGACTTTAGGATATTTTTAACAGTCCGATCTATCGCGAACGAAGGAGATCTGTTCCCTCTCATATGAACCGTACTCATCTGCAGTAATGTAGACGATCCAGATGCCTTTGTAGCACATCATAGCCTAATTACTAATTGGAAAATCTAAGAATGTCCGAACGGGTGTTTAGCCTAACGCACGACCATGCACCCCAGTCGCGTCCTTTTAAAACACAAAGGCAATAATACCATCGTTTGGGACTTTAGATTAAAACAAAAGGTAATTACCAAATGCCATCGGCTGCCTGGGTTGCGGCTGCCGATCAGGCATTCACGCCCGCAATTGCCCCAAACATGATTATCTTATCCCATAACAATACCAAACCAAAGCCTTGTTTGGATCCAGATGGCTAATAATTAGCCCTCCAGAATCTTACTATTTAAGAATATTAAACGTAGATTACTGATAAAATTCATTCCATAACTCCTGGGCTAATTTACGAGACAAATCTAATAAGCCTAATTAATCCATGTTTTGCTACAGTAATAATCCGCTAAGTATGGATTAATATATCTCGTTAGATTCGTCTTGCAAATTAGCCCAAGAGTTATGGAATGGATTTTGTCAGTAACCTAGGTTTAATACTCCTAAATAGGATGACAGTTTGCACAATGTTTCATTACTCTCCTAAAAATGTAGTACATAATGTAATGGATGCACATCTTCTGCAGGAGAAATGATCATCGTACGACTAGTTTCCGTACTACACATAGTTTTTGCCGGGGTTTCTCCAAGAGAAATCACTCGTTATTTGTTGCCAATGTCTCTTCATTCACATCAAAAGCTTTTCTTGCCTGCTTGAGCTCTTCATTCATGGAGAGTAGCTCAGTGGCACGGTGCAGTTTCCGCACATCCTAGAAAGAAAGTACAGAGATAAATTTTAATATGACCTAATCAACTGTATTGCAAGCAACTTCACATGTGGAGTTCAGAAATGTACCTTGCGAATGAGGTAAAGAAAATCTTCTGTCAAGAGCTTGCCCCTCTTTGATGCAACGTTCTGGGCCTTGTGGACCTAAGAAAGTGCACATTATACAGTCAACAGTTACGGAATCATAAATAAACATTACATACACATATGGTTTTATCCACATGCAGGTATTTAAAATCAAATAAAAAATTACAGTTAACTAAATTCTTGTGTTTGGTGTGTATTTCTGCTGTTACAGAGTGCATACTAGATTGTAGTCATGTAAAAATTTTGTCCAACAACCTGGGGCAAAGTAAGTCTGCAGGGTAAACAGACCTAATAAATTCATATCGTCGCGTATTCAGATCACGCATGGACAAATTATCTACAAAAATATATTCAGACAAGTGGGGCATGTTTAGATATCTTCACCCCATGTCACAGGTACATTTCATTTACACTATGCACGATTACAAACTCAAGGTTCCATATCATGCAGGAAAGTAGACTATATAGAGACTTTAAAGAAAATGCCTTTCTTAATATAGTTTACAGATAATTTAAGCAGGGAAGAACTGCCAAAAGATGGCAAAGCTCTATGAATCATTAACAAAAAGGGCTCCACAAGAGATGCAAATCCTGGTGATAACTATAACCGTTGCTGAACAGGTATGGAGTGTACCAGCCAGAACAATTTAAATTGGAGTGAATTGCACCTTGGGCTAGGAATATTTACCCAACTTTCTATTTGAACCATATGCTCTAGCCAATGTTTTTACTTTGGATTATGTATGTTTGCCTCTATGTTGCAATTTGGGCTTATATAACTGTCTGTAGAACTCTTTCTCCACCCGCAGTTCTACCAATGCCATCACAATCGCTACACTCTGCCTATGCACAGTAATCCACCAGCTCCAGCTTTTGCTCAGCCTCGAGCTCCACTAGTGTTAGCCCCTGATTTGAGCTCAAGATGCTCCACCATAGCGCTGAGACGGTGTTCCGGCCAGTGGGTGCAAGAGCAGGGGATGGTCAGGTGATTAGCATGGAGAGGTCTGGAAGGTTTGTCACTGTATGAAGCTCTTCAACTTATCTGGTGGTTTATGATTGAGAAGGGAACTGAGGATGGAAAAAGTTAATTAAGGCTTTTATTTGTGGTGGACTAGCTGAGAAAGGCTTGGCAAGATGCTCCACCATAGCGGCCTGCACAAATGAGCTGCCGCAACGAGAGCACATGATGGCGCACAAGGAGAGGAGACGAGAGGACTGACGAGGAAGATGACTATATGGAGGCTGACGTGTGGGACTAATGGTCCAAAGTGCAAAATTTGATACCATAAGCTGGTTCAAAGTGAAAACCTTTGATAATACCTAATCCAATGTGCAACTTAGGAAATAAAATCTAGTCCAAAGTACAGTTCACACTTAAATTAAAGTTCAGATTTGAGACCATAAGAATAAAGTATAACTTTATATTTTCTTGAAATTTCATGTACAGGTACACTAGTTTACTTTCATATGCCGGATCTGAATTATTACATATTAGCATGCAAAAAGTTCGAATCCAATATTTTTATCACAAAACTGGTTTACTGCCGGTAACTAGCTGGTAACTGGTTTTTTGATTCAAAATTTTGGAATCGAACTTTTGTCCAGTAGAGACCTGGCAACTTATTTTCCAGAGGGAGTAGTTCTTTTTTCCCGAAACCAGTGTTCAAACTTCAAGCCCTTGGGCTCTACACAAATATGAACTATAGGTTAAAGTGAAGCCCCTATTAATTCTCAAAACATAAAAGGCTTCATGTTTCCCGACAAACAGAAGCACTGAACCTAATCACTCTTTCCAGAAAACTACCTAATCACTCTTTCCAGAACACTAGAATTGAATTAAATAAGGCAACAAATAAGGATGTCGAAATCCAAATAAACTCCTTTCATCCATACAACCTTCATAAATGTAATTTCAGTAGAAAACAAGAAAGACAAATACAATGAAAGCTTACCAGGTCAGTGACATATTCTACAACAATGTCCTCCACAAGTGCAACAGTTTCTGGAAGCGGCTGCAAAACCAACAGAAAGATGTCATTTACATACAAGATTTTAACTTAAAAGGTAGAACAGCATGTCCATTCTTTCTTAGGCAATCATGTAGTTGTGTTGTAAATCCATGGCCTACTTGCAATTATTGTCGTTGTCGGTGTTAATTACCTCCAATGTTCCACAACACAAAGTACACAAATTGCATCCTATCCCCAAACAATTCCTAGCCTGAAAATTAAGAGATGAAAGGCATAGATCGAGGTCGGGCTTACATTTGGATCATCCCCAAATCCGTACATCATGTGCTGCACTGCAAGAACGGGGAAAAATGCAGCATAAACAACGAATTCGAAGAACAGCAGCAGTACTAAAGTTTAGAAAAAACAGTGCCGTACGGTCTTTCTGGAAGACGCCGCGCTTGCGCTTGAGGGTGGTGGCGGACGCGTCGGCGCCGCCGCCGCCGCCGCCGCCGCCGCCGGAGTGGTGGTGGTGGTGGTGGTGGGAGCTCCCCTGGCCCGACGCCGACGCGGCGGCAGCGGTCGAGGACTTGGACTTGGCCGCCGAGGCCGGGCTAGCGTGGTGGCCGCCAGGGTTCTGCATCCCGGCGGAAGAGCGAAGGACGCGAGGGGTGAGGGAGGGAGACGGACGCCGCCCGCCCCCTCTTCCCGACGGCCGGCGGCGCTCCCCTCCCCTTCCCTTCGCTCCTCGCCGCCGCTTGGATTTAGGGCTTTCGCGTGCACTATGCACAGCCGTGATGGATTTCTGAGGGGCGAACTGGAAGGAAACGAGTGGAGTCAGCCTCACACTAGCGGCGGAGCGTAAGGCCGGGAAGGGGGAGAGGCAATCGCGGCGGAAGCGTACCGGCGGCGAAGGGAAGGAAGCAGCTGGTGAGCGTACCGGCGGCGATTCGAGAATTTTCCGGTCCTTGCGGCTTGTATGGTATGATTTGGAGTTTACACGAGGGAATTGCGGATGAGATTAAGATGAGAATTTAATTTTTAATCCTAATATCTTGTTTGGTAGAGATGATAAAAATTGATAAGGAGTTTAGTTAGAGATTAGGTCATTAATAAAAATGGATGGCTGAGATTTGCTTAGACAAAGTAAAGGAGGAATTCCCTCCCAATTACCTGCCGTATTGAAAAGGAGGGATCTACATCCCACCAAAATTCTTATGTCTCCCAACCAAACAAAACACTTAATAGCCTCATCCCTCTAAACTCCCAATCCCTCCTGAAAACTCTCTCCAACCAAACGGGCCATTTGAGAAATTTTGCAACACACCATATTGTCCAGTTTTGCATTACCGTTTTCGAGTGAAGACCGGTTTGTATCGGTTTGGTAAAAAAAACAATAAGAATAGCAATTTTTAATCAATTTCATACGAAAATTGCTACTCACTCCGTTCCAAAATATAACAACCTGTACTAGATGAGACATATCTTAGTACAATGAATCTGGACAGAGGTACAAGGTTGCTATATTTGAGGGAGTAAAACCACTTAGTTTTCGTAAACCAGTCCCCACGGCATTTTTACGAGAACTGGGTGATTTTCAGTCAGTGATTGCAACATTAGACTTGAGATACAGGAGAGCATAGATAAAGAAGACATGAGCCACTTAAAGATAAAGGAGAAATAACACTTTCAAAAATATTAGAGCACTTAAAAAAGGATAATGAGTTAGTACTTAGAAATGTGAAGAAAATGGTTCATATAGGGAAAGGACGAGGAACAGGCAAATTATTGTACCTATGGCTAGATCTGATAATAGAGAGTAGAGCGTCAACAACTCGACAATAATGATAACCAAATAGCTAAACGTTTCCAATAGAAAGTTAGAAGTCAATGTTGGAGCACTTGCCACCGCCGCTAAAGAGATGGCTAAATCTAAGTGCCATTAAAATTAGATCATGGCGATGTGCTTAAGGACCGATGACGATGAATGAACAAGGATTTGCAATGGGACCTACAACTAGATTAGTGGTTGTGGTGGTAATGTGCACAAGGAGAAAGAGTGGCAAACCTCTGGTCTTAAATGACATGACAACTTGCAACTTGATATCTTAACTCTTTCAATACTCCAAAGTAATATTCTTGGAAGATATGGACCTAATGAGAAACGGGTGGAGATATGAATTCATCTTTTTTCAATGGCAACTTCATTTTTAGAATGTTCCTCAATGCCCTTTTTTTTTAATTCCTAAAACTTGTTGCCTACCTCCCACTTTGTTTTTTTTTTTGTTATCTTTGGTACTAAGGAATTGACTTTATGCCACCGAGTTTAGTACTCCATCCGTCTCAAAATATAACAACTTCTAACATTCAAAATTTATCCCAGAATATAACAACTTCTTCACCTACAATCTCTTCTCAACCAATCACAATCTTCCACCATTCAAATTCTCCACCAACTTTCTCTTGTCAACCAATCACAACTTTCTTTCGTTTAATTCTACATACCTTCTTAATATCTGTGTCCAAACCTAAAACTCTCTGTATTTTGGGAGGGAGGTAGTAGCTTTTGTTCCCTCCAAAAAGAAATTTTAGTAGCTTTTGTTTAATTATTATTGAGTATATTCACGGTGACAATATACCACTAATTTTACAGGGAACTGATATTATGCTATTGTGGACAGCTTTAGCACCAAGCAGTATATTTAAGTACTCTTCATGGTCGAATTTATTTAGCGTTGGGAAAACTGAGGACCAAATACATTTTACTGAAGTAAGTTATTACCATGAGTAGCATGAGTAACCATTTGTTTTAAATTACATGGTTTGCATTCATATATACTCCCTCCATCCCACAATATGGTATGCTAGAATCGGATTGCATGTATCATACTACTACGAACCTCGTAGTACTAGAATAGGTCTCATTTGATTCTAAATTATTATATTATGAAATAGAAGGAATATACTAGTTAACTAGGATAGTTCTCATCCAATTCTAGGTTTAGGTATGAAAATATATTCAATCATTGATTTGATGAAACTAATTTGTCTATAAACTTAGTCAAACTTAAAAATAGTTTGACTTTAACTAAAATCAAAAACACTTATAACCGGAAACGGAGGGGAAGGTAACCTGAGTTAGACAAGACAACAGTCACTAAACAATGGTCATTGATGAAAGTTGTGTTTGTTAATTATTTGTCTTTCACATTTTCGTGTGGAGAATCGGTTGCAATATTTTTTGCATGTTAGGGTGTTATTTTCTTCATTTGCTTTATTTCTTTTCTTGATTGAGCAATGAGTTTATTATCCATGGTTCGCATTTCAATGCACCAAGGCATTCTTTTGCTTAGGGTTTCCCAAACCGTAGGGGCCGGGGTTACCGCGTGGTAACCGTGAAAAACCGTGCAAAATTTATCAAAAATTCAAATTATTTTTTAATTTTATTTGAATTTAAGGAGGTTACCGCAGTATTTATATTACCGTACCCCCACGGTAAGCCCGGTAACCGCAGTAACCGCGCGGTAACGTAAACCCTGCTTTTGCTCCGTTGATTTGTGCAAATTCTTTTATCAAAAGTGTTACATTTAAAAACATTTGAAATTTCTTTTAAGTTCTAAGTGAAAAACATAGAGATGTTTTCTACGGTAACCATGTTCAAATTTGGGCCAATATAGGCATTTAAACTCGGTAGATCATTTCCTTCTGGAAGAAAAATCGGGAACACACCAACGCCGGGTGCATTGACAGAATAGAAGTCCCCAGCAAACCATAAGGGATGTTCAAAAAAGAAAAGCTGCAGATGTTGTGATAGATGATACAAATGCTGAAATGCATCGCAATGGGAACACATCATGCAGCAATCCATAAGCAAAGCAACATTTAAGAAACCAATAATCTTATAATTCATCATCTTCCAAGTCCTTAGTAAACGCCCTATGGAAAAGCAAAAAAATTTTAGAAGCTCGACATAACAAATGGTTTGAGGCTAAATATCCAACATGGAACATCGTCCCCAATTGTTAAAGCACTGTTTTCTCTTCATACCCTCCATACCGTCATGATGATTGTTGTCGTGAAGAACAACCAACTGAAACAAACGAGAAGGAAAAAAAATCGCTGGGCAGAGTATGCAAGTATGTCTTGACAAGGGATCTACTTGATGTACTGGGAGACCCACTTGAACCCGTCACCATAGCCCATCTTGCGGACAACACTGCACATGAACACTTCGAGGGGCCGGACATTGGATTCACCTAGGCTGACCTTGCCCTTCCCAGTTGTGAAGTTGCTAAGGCCTAGATGATACCGCAGCTCCTCTTCAGAAGCAGCATATGGAATGTCAATCTTGTTGCCAAGGATAAGAAACGGGACAGCTGCCAATGAATCATCAGATAGGAGTGCATCAAGCTCCTTTTTTGACTCAGCAAAACGTTCCTTATCATAAGCATCTACCAAATATACCACAGCATCAACCTGTTTTGAGACAGCAGGGAAAAGTCAAGCAAGAATACAAGGTGGTAGCAGATGGGGAAAAAAGCTTAATAATATCAGAAGAATAAGGACAGAGTCAAAGCAAATGAAACATAGGAAACACCGAAACAGAACACAGGCATCCTCAACAAAACATGCATTCCTACATCTGGGTGCAAATAATGAGAGAACAGCCACGCACTAAACATAGATATATCATGCATGGTCATTGGTCAAGTAATCATATTATAAGAACAGCTAGTATATTAATCATAGAATAGACAACATATCAGACAAGTTGACAGTTCCATGCAAGGGCAAAGACTTGCTAATGCATCACACAAAATCTAAGATGTGCCGTAAATCACATAGTACAGAGAGAGAATCATTTCAGCGGAGAACCATATGAACATACAATGTTAACCAGATACAAAACTAACAAGTGGCACGAGATAAAAGGAAATTTACAACTTTACGTAACATTAGCTGTAAGCTACAGGTGAAGAAAAGAATAATGAGGAATGAATCAATGAAGATTACCACCCATGAAGAAAAGAATACCGTGCAATGAAGATATAGTATTTAAACTAAACCTTTATGCTTTAATCCTTCATCCTTACACTAACACAAAGGCACTTTGAGGTTTTGCAGAAAACAGACAATTAAACCTTTATCAATTATAGCGCAGATACTGGTATGATTTTAACAACTCCATAATTGTGCTACCACCATACCCACAAAACTATTCAAGCTAACATATGCAGGGCTCCTGAAGAATTCCATTACCGGCACAATTCAATTATTCGCATATCCCCTTATAGCCTACGGATGGCAAAATCATTTCGTTTCCTAATTAGACGGACAAAATGGAATACAGAAGCCAGAAAGTTATCACCGTCAACAAACTAGATCTGAGAGACCGAATGCAAACATAAACATGCAATGGAATGGAATAGTTGGAAGAGATTGGCGCGAGACCTTGGCGTAGTAGTCCTTCCAGACGCGGCGGGCGATCTGGTGGCCGCCGAGATCGAAGGCCTTGAACTTGATCTTCCCGATGCTGAGCTCCTCCGACGTCGGGTGCTGCGTCGGCTGGTGCTGCACCAACCTCTGCACCATCCGCCCACGCACGCACGCACGCACAAACACAGACGGATCAGATCCAACGAAAGGGAAATGGATCGGGTCAGATCTGGGGTTGTGGGGGAGGGGAGAGAGATCCGGGCGAAGGGTAGGAGGGTACCTCGTCCTTGAGCATGTGGAGGAGGGTGGTCTTGCCGGCGTTGTCGAGGCCGAGGAAGAGGATCTTGGCCTCCTTCTGCCACAGCCCCAGCGACGCGAGCACGCCGTAGAACCAGTCCCACAGGAACATCTTCTCTCCCCACGCCTCTTCCTCCTCTGTACCGCGCGCCCTCTCCTCTCCTCTCCTCCTCTTTACCTAGTGCAGTTGCTGCTGCTAGCGGCGGCGGCGGCGGCGGCGGAGATCGCCGGATCGATCGAGGGATGGGTGGACGAGAGGGGAGAAGAGAAGACGCGGGTGGATCTGAATCTCTCTCTCTCTATCACCCTGTGTGTCCGCCTATTCTATGCTTGGTTGGGGAGAGGGGAGGAGGGTCGTCAAGGCATTAACTGCTGGGGCGTGAGGATTGAAGTGTGGGTGTGGGCGCCTGCATGTGGGCCCGGCTTCCTCCTAATCCCGATCGACTTCCCCTCAACTAGAAACAGGGAAATGGAGAGAGCATATGGAAGGAAGATATTACATTCTGAGAAAGTTTGCACATGTCACCTGAGAATTTTGGGTATTTAGAAGTATGGTGAAAGATGGCAAGTAAAGTTTGCAAGAATATGAGATCACGCGAAAGTGGAAGAGGTAGCATAATTCGTATCACGGTGCAAAGAGTTGACTTCCTTTTAGCTGCCCCTTCATATTTGTCGTCTTCGAAATTGATAGCAAAAGACGTAACTGACGGACAAATACGGTATCTAAGAATCTAAAATCATATTGGATGGCAAGAAGGAGAAATCGATAAGCGAATTTGGATTTATCGGGATTTAGTGGATAGTACTTGAGTATTTGATTTACCACTAGGTAGACAAAGTCAACTAAACGACAACTTAATGGTTGCATTTTGCTCTATCTTTGATTGCATATGCGAATTGGATTATGATATGATCATAGCCGTTGGACGCCAACAAATACATAGATAGGTGTTTGACATGCTACTCATGACCAACAATTTGAAAACATTCAATGAAAATATATGAGATTTCCACGTCTCTATGAATTATCACGGAGAATAGAGTTTTGAGTTAGGTTGGTACAAAATCACCTAAATTTTATGTGCCATAATAAAAAAAATTGAAAGACAAGCCAATCTACCATGGTTATGCACATTTGAGTGTTTGTTTTATTCTTAGGTGGAAATCTAATTATGTCAATTAACATATAGATTCACGTTGTTGTATATTAAGTGTTTAAGGGATTATGTAAAAAAAAATAGTGTGGCCTTGCGTTAAAGAAAAATAAAATTTGAAAGACTTGTTATGTGCATCATACTATTACCACATTTGACCATATACTATCTTTGGTACTTCCAACAAACAACAAAAATGAGATTGTCTAATATATATCAATGTATGTTGACATAGACCACCCACCATGTGTTGACGAAAAAATCGAACACACTGGCCTGGGAGATCTGCTTAGCTCCTGTGCAGGTCCAAATCTTGATGAGATGCGAGCGTGCTAGTCAGTTTGATCCTGCAACTGACAAGATATGCAAACAGTAGATCAAAATAGCCGATCGGCTGACAAGCCGATGGAGTAGTTCCAGCCGATAGCCGAGAATAGCCAATGCCGATGCCAGCCGATAGCAAAGGGTTTAAGCAATCGGTTATATGTCCAATGTAGATAATGATATAAAGGCAATCGGCTGATGATGATGTAATAAAATAACAATATAATCCAGTATAAACCAATCGGCAAATAATGATATGATAAATAAGCATCGATCCGAAGGTTAAAGCACATATCGGCTGGAGGTCCAATGTCATGAAATCCACAAGATTAGATAAACAGTAAAACCTTTGTTGCGATAGGCTAAATCCAATATGTATGCAATCCTTGTAAGCCGATGCAACGTCCAGATAACTCATCGGCTGAAACCCCGATGAAACCCTTATTGGCTGTCAAAAAGCAGGCTAGAGATTATGGTTCTAAGCACGACTTAGTAGATCAAACTTAACTGATGCAGCACTAAGTATGAAAAGAAACATAATATCTAGACAATCAAGCCGTTGACTGATTTTCAGAGTGGTAGATGCCTAGGCTAATCTAATCTAGCAAGGCGATTTAGCCGATAACGGCAAAAACCCTAAAGCGAGAGACAGCCGATAGAGCTAAATTGAGATGCTAGGACTAGATTAACATAGACATATGATAAATAGCTAAGCAAATATATTATCCAAACTAGAGTAATCCAAGAGGTCGAATGTACTGATGCAGCCTTGAACGACGCCGACGTAGACGATACAATTGCCTAGACCGACGGAACATTGGACTTATCCCTTCGCCGGAGATCGAAGACGATGCAACCCCGCGTCTAGTGCCAAGTTCCGCCGGAACGTAAAAACAAAAGTAGAAGTAAAAAGGGTGGCGATGCGCCGAATTGTATTGATCGTGAGATAAATTGCATAGACCCCGGTGTACATATTTATACCCATGGGTTGATACAAGTCCTTGTCGGACAAGAAAGAAACATTCCTAAAGATAAAAGGAAAAGATAAAGTCCTTATAGGACACTAAACACACTTTTCTAAAGATAAAATGATACTAACAAACTATTCCTAATTAATAGATAACTTGTCATGCCGCATTCTCTTTGAACTCGGTCTCTTCTGGATAAGCTTCCTTTAGTAGATCAATTTCCTTAACCGAATATAGCAAGAATCCGACAACCGACGACTTGACAATTCTCATCGGCTAATCTCAGGACTTCGAAGCCGATGTTGACTCTAAGCCGATGACTACTCCAGGCTTACCAAATTTCACTGTTAACACCATGGTGCATCTTGTACTCCTAGCCAAGCTCTTTAATGCAAACACAGCACAATAGCACAAATAGCATTGGTGTTACAATGTTGTGTTCATGCCATCGCAAATCGCACTGGCTCTCCCTAGTTTGGAATTTGGAGGAAAATATCATCACTATTGAAAAGGGTAATGCAAACTACTTATACATATAAAGTTGTCCCTGCCAAAAAATATATATTATTGTTGTAAACTCTCATATGACCGATCAAATATATATGATTAGTACTTAGAAGGGAATGAGTTAGGGGTTCTCAAGTTGTGCCAATGTAAACTCATCCCCCGTTATAAAATATAAGTTCAGCTAGCATTTAAAATTTATATAAAAAATATAATCACTTCTATATAACTAATTGTCCCAACCTCACCGCATTAAATAAGGGGATATCGTATTCTTTTCTAGAAATGCTTATATTTTAGAACGGAGAGAATAATTTTTTTAGTGTTTTTTTTTCTAGATAGGATGTTTGAATAGTTAATTGCACAATTTTAAGAAGGGGATTTAAAAATATATTGCATATGGATGATTTTGTTTTGCATAAAACAAAGTTAGCCTATATTTGAATAAGAAACAATTAACTTTGTTTTTTTAAGTTACTAATCACAAAGAGTTAAAAAAAAGTTTGTTTTTAGTATTTGTTCTACGGGGAAAAAAGCACCTTAACATTTATTTTATAAATCTCAATTGGTTTTCGAAAAAAGATGTCTATGCTATAAATTATTCCAATTTTGACATAGCTCAAAACACCCCATTCGCATCCACCAGAGTCATTCAAAATCCTTTCATAGCCACCTATATCATATCGTGTGTTATCTTTTGAGGGTAGAATGGCGATGTGGATTTCCACCCGATTGTTAAATGGAAAATGGAAGAGTTGATACTCGATACACATATCAAATCTGATGATGGCAAAGGGGAAATTTAGTGCGATACCCATATCAAATAGTGGAAGGGGTGATTTGAGGATGTATAATTTATTTTGAGGTCTAAGTTTTAATAAGATCTTCTAACCTACATGCAGTCCCACCATCACCCTGCATGCTTTTTTTTTTCTTTGGGTCAGTTTGGTCTTAGTCTTGTGTTTTTGGTCAGTTCGGTCAGAAAAGAAAAGTGAAGACTGAATTTTAACACAAAAAATATCAGGAATGGCAAAAATATCAGGAATGGCAAATTTGGTCTCGGTATCAGTCCTGACCGAAATTCAGCAATAGTTTCATATATGCAAAAAAATAATCATAGAAATTTTCAACATAAAAATTACAAAAAAAAATGCAAGCACTTCTGTGTAAAGACATTTATTGGGTTGCATGCCTAGAAAGAATAGGGATGTGAAAATTAGAATTTAATTCTATTGAGCTTAGTGGATTATATATTGCATTTGGATTTTTTTAATTCGATCTTTTCGGTTAACCGAGGAAACTAACCGAATTGACCGAACAAAATTCAGTCTCTCACCGCATAGGACTAAATTGATAACAGAATTTCTTGGTCTCGGTTCGGTTTTTTTTTTTTTTTTTTTTTTGCCACCACTAGCTCCAGGAATGCCTTTCAAAACTTCATTGCTCTGTTTATTGAACTTACCTGTTCAACCACAACTATAGAAGCATTTCCATCATGCCTTGGCCTGTTGATGCTGCTCCAAAGCAAGCAAGAGTAGGTGTTTGTCGGATAGAAAACTGAGCAAGCTAATCAAGCTACTATTAGACAGGGGAAAAGACGACGACATGTGAAAGCACTGTACGGATGAACTCTACATAAGCTGCAAAACTGTTATGTATATGTGATACATCATACATAGAACGACGCAGTAGTTCCTCTCTTTTCCGCGGTAACTAGATATCTCAGCACTAACTGGTGGATCTCATCAGTAGTTCCTCTCTTTTTCCGCAGTAATTAGATATCTCAGCACTAACTGGTGGATCTCATCAGGAATTACCGAATTACACTTGCCAGTAACTAGGAATCAAGGACATCCAAGAGGGGGGCTATCCCAGATGATGTTCCTCTCTAGGCTGCGACGGGCTCATTTACGGAATGAGGAACACCTGCATTAACCTGAAAAGAGGCATATCACGTACAGTTGACTATATTATTGGTGCAAATAATTACAAAACAACAATGACAAATAATGTATATACCTTGGCAGCTTTGAAGAGCTCATCCAGAACCTCAGACAAAGTTGGGTGTGCATGAACAGCAAACTTGATGTCCTGGGGGATGTAAACAGCGTTGAGCAAATGCAATCCATTCATAAACAATAAAATGCTCGTCACTTACTTGTACACGAGTTCCGAGGGCAATGGCGTTTGATGCCTCGTGGATGAGGTCAGCAGCATGCAAACCTAATATGTGAACTCCAAGAATTTCTCCAGTGTCAGGCCGGTAAATCATCTGTAGCAAAAGTAGAGTTCATGTCTCATCATTTTCAAGTTCCAAGGATAGATTTCCTCTTTAGCATTAGTCTGACTACAGTATTCATTGCAAGGATCCAATGTGATTATAAGAAACAGTTTAGGTCTAGAATACAATAAGGTGGAAAAGTAGAATCACCTTAGCAAGTCCATCTCCTTCATTCTCAGCCAGAGCCTTCGTGTTTGCCTTGAAGCTGGTCTTAACAACACTTATCTCAAATCCTTCCTTATCAGCCTTTTCTCTCGCTTGTGGCTGTAAATTTTACTAGGAACTTAATTTACGAATTATTAAGAATGTGGTTACTGTCCTAAAGCACAGTAGATGAAGAGTTGCTTTAGCATGGATAAAATACAATACATTTATCCCTTTCAAAAGGTTGCATGCTCATTTCATATTTATTGATCTAGTTACCCCTATGTTGAGCAGAAGGGGTTAAGACTTAAGACTCTTAGATGGGAGTAGTAATTTTGACTTACCTCTGTTAGCCCAACCATACTAATCTCCGGATGAGTGAAACAGGCAGCCGGGATGCTTAGATGATTTAGGATGTTGTCTTTCCCAGAGATTCGCTCAACAACTATATTCAGACAAGAAATTAGTTATCAAAGAACTACACTAGTTCAAAGCAAAACCCGAAATATGCGCTGAAGTACAATAAAACAGTGAACAAATTATTCTGTATCTACCTGAGATTCCTTGTGCACTGGCAGCATGAGCCAGCATGAGTTTGCCATTGGCATCTCCAATACAATACAAATTTGGAACCTGCATAGTAATATATGTTCATATCAAAGGAAGTGATGATGATCCAAAGATATCTTAACTAATGAAAAGTGAAACCCAACATGCAACTAGAATGTGCCACATCATCCAATGAATATTAGCCATCGGATTCACTAAATAACAAAAAAGCTAGAACCAATTTTTGACCATAGGATGAAACTCAAGTAGTAAAAAATATAGGGTGTTCCAGACCCTTCTAGCAGGCAAGAAGAACTACAAGCTTGAGATGATAGAAAGGTATTACAATTTACAAATAGAGATATAATTGCTTACTCTAATCAAAGCACAGTGTATATAAGGAGACAAAGTGATTACAGGTGGACGCATGGAGCTTAGTGTAGAGAGGAGATGCGATTCTATTTTTACACTTAGTCATATAATAAATTGTATAATGTATAAATCGATTATTTGCTTATATTTATATTACAAATACGCCTTCAAATTCAGATAATCACAAAGTAAAATGTGTAAACATGGTACTCTAAATTCTACAGATTTAATTAAATATGAGTATTCCTAACCCTAAGAACACTCAACATTGTGTATCTATACAAGTGTGTATATCCATGTGATTAATTTAATTTATATCAACTAATTAGGTTTCAAACAAATTCACATGTTTCATACGTTTTGAATAACTAATTATTTAATTTCATATTATCGTTAATATATTTTCTTCCACACCATCCATAACATGATGGCTATAGTCGCACAAATGAGTGACTTAATACACTAGTATTAATTACCAAGGAATAAAACAGTAATATGGTGTATTACAGTCCTTGTGTAATCAAATGGATCTCATTAGAGTCCGTGTATGCACAATTATTATGGCTTGTCACATGGAAATAACATCAATAGTCATCAAAGAATTGCATATATCATTTGATGTTTTAGTAATTTCTATTAACACATATTAGGAAGATTATTAGCCAAAGGTGTGCATTGGTAGTTGTGCCAATGTCTAAAATGGCAAGCAACAAAGAATGTATTGTAGGTAGTATGCAACTTAACGTACCGCATTGCCATCTGCGTCCATAACTTGCATCCGCTCATCAACAGGAACAAAACCGCGTTGTGTAACAACGTTGACCTGAGAATCAATGGTATTTTATATGTAACTATAACAATTTTCATATAATTACAGAAGCAAATATTTCGTGTGCTCACATTTTCCAAGCCAAGCCCTTTGGTGAACGGTGCCCTTCCGGTAGCTATGAGAGCTGCATCCACCTGCAAACACAAAATCCCACCTTTTCAAATGAAATTGAGTCATGTAATAAAATAGCACCCATGAGCTAGATAATGATTGCAACGAGATACTGAAGAAATGACTTTAAAAATGCTTGCATTGACTGTAATTCTCAAAATATGACACTCGTAAAGATTGCTCATGAAGTCACAGAAATATCAGAAAATATTTTTGACTACAAGTTTAACAATTCATCACCAGCGATTCTGGTATAACAGTTTGATCTACACTGGCAGGCTAACAATGATGCATTTGATAACAGTGTGGACAGCAACTTTTCAATAGTTCGCGGACTTCATTCAGCTTTCTTTTGTCGAATACACATGAGACTGACTTCATTCAGCTCAAGACAACAGACTAGTACAAATAGTCAAAGCTTTTAAATCCTACCCTGAAAATGCATGTCTTAACAATCTTTTAACAAGAAGAGCACAAAGCCTACAGTAAAAACAAGATTATCCAATATATTACCTCAAGTGTTTCCTTGTGTTCCTTTGTCTTAGCATCAATTAACTCAATCAACACGGGTTTACCATCCTTTGCTGGGGTAATCTAGAGATATGGATGTTGCAAGGTTACAATAGTGTCAAAAGATTTCATATTATGGAGAAAGCTTGAGTTGAATCTCAAGGTAACCTTGCTCGCAAAGACCCCAGTATGATAGTCAATTTTACGAGGATTGATAAGAATCCTTTGGGCCAATTTTGCAATCTCAGGATCAAAACCAGGCATCAACTGATCAAGTGCTTCAACAAAAGTAACCTGTCCAAGTGAAATTTAGGTAAATACAGGTGAAATATCATCAGATGACAACAGGCCTTAATCATAAAACAGCATAGATGGTTAATTAGAATTTAACATGCAATTAGTGTTCGCACTTCACAATTATATCATATATGTATGAAGAATATAAATGTGTAATCGCTAGTTTTAAGTCATTGTTAACATAGAAGTAGAGTATTATTCATCTGTTTAACGTGTATTACAACATTGCATGCAAACATGCCTATTTCATAATTAAGCCAAGAAAAGACACTTGCAGAACATGTATGCACCCAAAACATGTCTGTTTCTATGCATGTGTTAGAAAATGATGCATCTTAGGAACTGTTCATGTACCTCACTTCCCAGAGCCGTGTATACATCACTGAATTCCAGTCCAATGTAACCGCTTCCCACGATAGCAATCCAGTCAGGAACTGACTCAAGTTTTAGTGCATGATCACTAGTAAATACGGTTTTACCTGCATAAAACCATTCAGCGAGCTCTGTAAGAACTAGTGAATGTGCATATGCAACACATATTTTCCTGAATAATATATGTAAATGGTATTAGAAAGGAGCTATAGACGTGGATCATATAATTTTCATGGTTAATTCATTTGTATCTCTGGTCTCAAAAAAAAAATTCATTTGTATCTCTTTGTATGTTAAGTAGTTTGCTCCTATAGTGTATGAACTGAAAATGCTAAAAGATTACAGGAGTACCAGAAGATGTGACACCCATTAAAAAATTGCGATGTAGTGGCGCAAGAAATTATGTACTCCATGGTGGAATCATGTCAAGAATTATTATAGATGACCAAAAATTGCTACCCATCATTAACACCTCAAATTCTAGTAATGGAGGGTCCCTACATTAATTGCATATTGAGGTTTTCTCTTATCCTTGGAGAGGTATATACTTCCTCATCACTTAAGAGATACCTCTCCATGAAGGGAGGTACCGAAACTAATGTCACAAATAGAGTAGAATTGGGAATCCATCTTTGTATTTATTCTTGAATTTTCTTCCATCTTCAAGAGGTTTAGGTAACTACCTCCTTACTAACACTATGAGGTATATACATTTTTGTACCTCCCAAGTACCAGCAAAGTCTTTGTCATTGTCGATCGTACACTTTTGTTATAATTAGTACTTCAACTGGTTAAATTTTTTTACTGCCTACTTCAACTGGTTAAATTTTTTTACTGCCTAAGGATGGGAGAAAACCTTTGGTACAAGTGATTATAGGGTAATGATCTAATTTTAATTTTCAGCCCTCCAATTGAAAGGTGCTTTGTATCATCTATCTTAGTGGCCCAATTTTAAAATAATCCCTTTTCTATTAGTGTAGTTCGTAGAAAGAAGAAAACCAAGATGTAACCACAAATATACTGTAGCTGCAATACACAATATCCACGTGGAGCATTGCAATTTCAGAGCAATTATGAGCACTTGTGCGTATATGGCTATATGCTCAATCACCATAGTTACAGTGTCAAATCTCAACCTATAGCAACAACAGTAGAAGGGAAACAGATTTCTCATGTAGTTATTCAGGTTTCTCATGTAGTTATTCAGTTATTCCCAACGTTCTTGGTTGATTAATTGAAAAACAAAGAAGATGATGTAAATAGGTACTAGCAGTGAACACTCCTTGCCGGCAGACTAATACCATATAACAGGATGCAGTACAACATATGTAAGACCATATAGGTTTAAGTGATTGTGACCACTTTGATGAAGAACTTATCAAGCAGGGTGGGATCCTCAGATAAGGGGTTGTGACTATTGGAGCCCTACCTACACTAATCTTAGGTGAATATGGAACGGAAATTATCTCAGGCATGCCTTGATGATAGTTCCTATTGTAAATCATTCTTTTTTACTTCAGTAGGTTAACTACGTTGAAGATACAAAGTTGCAAAGAGAAACAGTAATTACCATCTATTTCGATGCCATTGGGGACAAAAGGAACAGACCCCGTTGCAATAATGATATTTCTGGCAGTGATTTCATTGTCAGGAAAACCAACTTTTCCATATCTCACTTTTTGTTTTCCCTGCACACATCAGAATGGCCACATTTTAATTGCTGTAACTCAAATGCTTACAATGCACAATACGGTTAGCACTCCTTACAGTACATCACATACATTTACTCTAACAACAGTCTTTTTAATGAATAATATAACTATAAAAGAATTGACAACTCCTACGTCTGAGCCCTTCTTAAGTAACTTTAGTCATAATGGTGTTAAGAGTCCTTTGACAATTAGGGAGGGACCTACTTTTATGTCACAGGGTAAATTCATGTAATTCAATCAAGAATGATCTTGGCCACTAAGAATTGCAAGAAGTGATGTTTATATACAAAATAAAATATGTCAATGCTCACTCTTGCAACATATGCAACACCCATAATAATAAATTGTCTGCTTTCATGACAAACAAGGGAGATATAGATGACCTACCACAATGGTGCCAAAACCAGTCAATATATCCACACCCAAAGCTTTCATCGAATTAGTCAAGTTGCTACGAATTTTAGAGGCCAGATTATTTGCATGATCTGCAACAGCCTGCCTATCATATCCAGCTGTTGAAACCTGTTACAAATATGATAAATGATTAGCAAAGTTAGGGGCCATAAAAAACATGCTTATAGTTAAAGGTCCATGAACAAAAGGAGGTTCTTGGTTTGATATTGGCATCTTGACTATTTTTGGAAGAGCCAAGAGAAAGAAAGTTATTTGCATAGAGTTAGATGAGCTCAATATTAATTTTCTAAATATTACACTAAATTGCCATGATGACAGACTGAACTATTTTCAGTACATCAACTAATCCACAGAAATCTTCTGATTAATATATCACCTGTAGACCCAACGATTTCATGTGGTGTTCATCTTGAAGTTCCCTCATCCGACCGCTGACAGCAAGAAGTGCCTTCGACGGAACACAACCTCTGTTCACACAAGTCCCACCTACAACATCCCCCTCAATTATGGCAGTTTTCAGACCCTGCATGAGTACATTTTCACATATTCATTACAATGCTTCCTGAAATCTTCAATAGTTCAATTGTTTGCAGTCCAGAAAAAGCTCAGTATCCAAAATATGGGAATTTGCACCGTTTCATGGATCCATCATCAATTTACTCAAAGAATAGATTGCAGAACTCTAGCAAGGAATTGATTGAGTCAAAGGTATCCACTGGCATCATAGGTATCTGTAGCATTTATTGGAACATTACAGACTAACTCAGCACTAATACTGCAGCCATCAAAACTAGCAAAGCAATACACATTCCTGAAATATAAAAGTGGAATGCTTGACTATGGTAACAATATGCATAATTCTGAATTATATAACCAAGGTTATCATTCATCATGGTTAACTAACAGAAAATGGAGATAAACAATGAAATATCGAATAGGTCTTACTTATATTCAAGGAAAATAAGAAAAACTGATGAGTAATCATCAAGATATGCCAATTTAGAATCCATGAAAAACATAATCAATCTTCACCACCTTGTGAGCAGTATATATCAAAAGAATTCGGGAGAATTGCATATTTGCCACTACTTTTACCCCCTAACTCGAAATAGTCATTATAAAATCATGAATTGCAAATTTACCACTAAAAACAGTGTGCGCAGATTCCGTATGCCATTGCCGTTCCAATTTGTACGAGTGGGAGGATAAAAATAATTCATGAAATTAAATTAAAAAACATGGCAACATGATAAGACCATGTTGCCCTTGCCAGATTCGACCTTATCCGCTTTGTTCCCCAACTCTACCGCATCAGAAACATCCGCTCGAACTCCTCTCCTATCCTCTCCCACGACGAACCCTACAAGCCCAATCCTCTTATCCCTTCATTCAAATTAGGAGCAAATCAACCAAAAATCGGTCGCTTTGGAGTAGCAGATGCCAATGGAAGAGGTGCAGATAGATTTTGGTGAGTAGGGCAGCAAGGCAAGTAGCGGCTTGGGGGCGACGGCTGCAGCGAGCGGCTCCGTCGGGCAACGTCAGGCTGCGGCGTGCGGCTGCGGCAGGAGTTAACGTCGATTGCGGCGCTTGCGGCGGCTTGGGGCGACGACTGCAACGGGCTGCGGAAGGTGTCGGCGTTGACTGCCGAGGGCTGCAGCGTCGGCTGCTTCAGGCTGCTTCGATCTACTAGAATATTTCTCTTTTTTTTTTGCTTATCCCGTAGGAATGGCCGAGGCTTCTTGACAGCCATTATTAGGGTTGAGTCTTATTTCACCGCATCGTTTTTGGGTCAAAGGATATATGTTAAGGGAAACAATGTCAAAAATTCTATCGAATATTGCTCTTGCTTGTTCTTCATCATTTTGACTATGTTCTTGCTTTTGCCTCAAACAATGACAAGGGCATCCTTGTCCTAATTTTCATGAAAACCAGCCATCTAACGGTGTTAGTCTAAGCTGTTAGTTCAGTGGCAGTTATGTTGGGTTCAAACTGTTTTTGATGGCAAATTTGAAATTACAGGTTTTTTAGTGCTAGATCCACAATACCTGTTCAATCCAGTGGCAAATATGCAATTGACCCAAAGAATTCAGCACGCCAATAGCCCCAATAATGCTAGAATTTCTAGTATGGAACTACCAGAAAATCCTCAAATTTTACCACCTACATTAGGTAGATCCGTAGATGTAGTCAATCAAAATTATATTCAATTCCTAAACATCTCGAGACAGGTATTTTAGCACACTAGTGAATAAATCCACTTAACATGTTGCACTAAGCCGCGTAAAATGCAAAATGCTGTCAACCACATTTCATATGCCTTGAAACGAAACCATAACATTTGACAATTTTTAGCACCACGCACACTTGTTGCAATTTTATGTTTCTGGTTTCCTTTTTCCGGGTATCATTTTCATGCTATGACATTTTTAAAGGGAAATCCATGCTACAACATTGAACTTCCATTACTAGTTACTACAGCATTGCTATTAGAAGTTTTAAAGTACCACATCAGGAAATAGTTTCTTAGGACAATCTAATTATAGTAGTATGTCCTAAAATTAGCAACCGGATCACACTTTTTCTCAACATGCTAGACTCTAGTTTCGAGTTCCCCGGCAGGAAAAAAATAAGATGCACGGTATGTCTTCTCAAATTATAGGCACAGCAGACCTGCAGCTTCTTCCTTATCCAAAACCAATCACCGGGTTTATTATGCATGGATAGCAATAAAAGGCCTACGGTTTATCATTGCTTGTCCTATATAGAGAAACCCTCCTCCAATCCAAACAAATTTCGAGCTTCGGCGACGGCACCAACATTCCTCAGTTCACATTTGATAGGAACTGTAGATCACGACTAGCATAGTACCATGATGGCACGACGAAATGCATCCACCATAAACACACAAACCCCGAGCAAATCTAGCAGCTCGGGAGGGGTGCGAAGCATACCTTCTCGACGGCGTGGAGAGCTGCGCCGTGCCCGCCGACGCCCGCCCCAATGATCACGAGGTCGTAGTCGAACCCGCCGCTCCCGGCCGCACCATTCCCAGTAGCCGCCGCCGCCTTCCGCGGCGTGGCGGCCGCTCGCGGCGGGGCCCGCAGCGAGCGGAGCCCGAGGGCCTCGCGGCGGAGGCCGCAGAAGCGGAGCTCCGCCGGCCGGATCGCGCCTGGCCGGGCGCCGCCGACCGCCGCGGCGGCGGTGGCGGCGGCGGAGAGCGAGATAGCCGTGGAGTACATGGCGGCGAGGTGAGCGCGTGGGGGGCGACGCTGGTGGTGTACAGGGTGGCAGTTGCTAGGCGGGGTCAAGTTGAGGGTTGAGGGGAGGGAGGCGGAGGAGGAGGCGTTGAGGGCGTGTGGGTGTTGGGTTTTGGAGACGACGGGGCGGAGGATTCGAAGTTGCCGAGGGAGAGTGAAGAAGGGATGATGATTGATGAAGGCTGACCGGAATACTGGATGCAGATGCCAGATTGCCACGTAGGAGTAGGCAGGGTCAACAGAAAAGGAGAAAATACTCTTTCTTTTTTCAATTATTTTCCAGAAAAAAAATGGTCGAGTTTAAAATCATTGAGTCAGGGGAGAATGATACTACCGTGTAATTTAATATTGTATATAGATCCAGGGCCGGTCCTGACTTTTCAGGCCCCGGTGCGAAACTAAATATAGAGGCGTTTATTGTTGACGGGGATACTCGTAGATCGGATATAGAGGGTATTGAGGTACGCTGGTACGAGGATCTACGTAATACGACATCAAGCAGATAGAAAACAAAGATTGTACTGGTTCAGGCCCCTTGATAGGTGATAGCCCTAATCCAGTTGATATGGAATTATATGATGGAAATCACAGATTACAAAGGGAATAGTGGAAATCAATAGTACCGACGAGATCGTAATCGAGCAGGTCCGACTAGATCTTCCGACGACTTGGCTCCTGCAGGCTCCGACTTCGTAGGCTGTGGTGGATGTGTTGGCTCTGAGATTCGATGCCTTAGGTCCTCCCGGGGGTCCCTTTTATACCGCAGGTCAGTTGGTTTCCAAGTAGAACTCGGAGACATCGGACCCTGCACGATACAATGACGACCCAGTTCTGTCCGAGTAGGACTCCTTCCATCTGTGAACTCCATGATGAGTTTCCTTAATGTACGCCGAAAACATCCGTATACGCGCAGGTATACAATATCGACATGTGACGTATATCGAGGGGTAGAGGGTATACCTTACCCGTAACCCTGACACTATCATATATACGATATAATAATAATCAATAGATACATATACTGAATTATTGTCATAAATATTTAAATTGCATTCATAAATAATATTTGTATAGGAAACATTGAATATGTTACCTCGAAAATTTTTTCTGATATTTCTAGCTGCAAAGTAAGTGATAATGGTACCAATATCAATTTCATCCAATAATTTCTTCTCAGTGCATAAAGTTGCCAAGCCATTTAACCTTTTCTTTTTTTCCTTTTTCTCGCTACTTCCTCGATGACATGGACTGATAATTAAAAAAAGATTATTGTAGTGATTTAACTCATATTACACTGCAAAATTATAAATTTAAATTTAAAATCTTACCAATTAATTGATGACAAGCATCCGGTGTGCATGTTAAATAAGTCGGGAACACAATAGTGCAGCCAGGGTCTTCGTTCGTCCAACTCTAGGAGCAACATCAACTGAATTAATTAAATAATTAACCAAACATCCAATCTTTTATGGGAACAACTGCAACAGAATCAATTTTTCACATGTACTTAGCGATGGCAATTGGGATTTTGGGATTTGGGAAATTGACTCACTCACCTGAACACAAAACATACCGCAGCGAAGCAATCCGTAAGCGGCAAGGCGGCAAGCTGCACTGCAAGAAGCGGCGGCTGTGGCCTGCGGGCTTGTGTCAGCGGACGGCGATGGCGCGATATCACGACTCGCATGAGGAGGAGATGAGGGGTTAGGGTGTGGGCGGCACTGCAGCAATCTCGCTACTCAATCGCGTCTTCTGATTTTCTCTCTTTCTGTTCGCTTTCTTTGCGCGAGGCCGAGGGGCCGAGGTTGCATCAGAAGGGGGAGGGGGGAGGTGGAGCCCCTACGATCTGGGGGCCCAGAGCGGCCGCACCTCTCGCCCCCTCCAGGGCCGTCCATGTATAGATCAGAACTTAACGGTATTAGATATAAATTTTGTACGCATAGGATATCCATATTTCTCAGAATTATTATAACATGTTATTATTTTTTTAAGCGAACTTGGTTTTCCAAAGGCATAAAAGCGGATTGTGTTTGATAATTTATCAAGTTGGATGAGCTGAAGGGGGGAAGGAAATTGAGGTGAGAAAAACAGTTTGTTTGACGATGATGACTCATCGTATAACCATTGAAATAATTATTGTTTTTAATTCTGTATGTATCTTTTTCTCATAATATGTCATGTTCTCTCCTTAATATGGTAATTAAATCATGGATAATTGATTTAGTTTGCTTTGTATCCCCTAGTTTTGGTCACTACATGTTGTTTTTGTCTTGGATAATAGTTCTTTTTTTTTACTTTTGATAATTTAGCATTCGATTTTGCTATATATTTGTCGAAAAAATTTTCCGCAAAAATTTGACAGATGTAATTACAGTACAATCGTAGTGTAATTACACTGTAACTATAGTGTAACTTATATGTAACTTTCAAAAATCTCTCCGTAACATATTATTTCGGTAAAATGGTGGTCGTGGGAACAAATTATTTCATATATGTGTGTGCTATGATTTGTTTTCTTCCTCACCAAAACAAATCTTGTAATAGATCTAACGATTTAAAATTATGTGAAACTTACATATAAGTTACACTGTAGTTACATGCAAGTTACAGTATAATTACATATAAGTTACAGTGTAATTACACTACAATTATACTATAATTACATCTGTCAAATTTTTGGGAAAAAATTTGTCGACAAATGTATAGGTAGTCCCTTTAGCATTTATAGTATTGTATATTAGCACCGACTTCCATTATTTATTCATATCAAAGTATACTGACTTTAGCCACTTTTACATACTTGAAAGCTAAAAAGTTGGAGGTGTTCATAATGTGCTCTAGCACCTGCCACGGTAAACAATTTCATGCAACTAGATATATATTAAAATGAGTGTTGTTTGCACTATGAGAATTGCATCCTTTGTAGTATGTGCATATCTCTGGTTGGTTGATTTGAGTTCCATTACATGTACTTGGATTTTTGTTGCAATGTGTAGACATATGTTAGTTTCTAAAAGCAAATTATGATACTCCTATCCTCATATCAACACGGGGATAACTATCAGTTTCTATGTAACTTTAGGTTGGCAAATGATGAAACGAAGCTATGTCTTTGTCCTAAAACGCTTAAATGCCATCCAATGGTTTTGGTGTGTATCGAGCCCTCTAACAAACCTAATCCAACCTGGAGGCATAGATGGTGGTGGTTGTTATAGTACCAAATAGCAATACTAGACATTGCAATGTCGGTTAATTTAGTTGTAGAAAAGCTTAGGTGTTATCGTGATAAGATAGAAACCAACAGTTACGGTCTAGAGTATAGTCGTTGATGTTAATAAGTACTAATCGTGACGAAAATTGTAGTATTTCTTGTGCCTATTCATCAGTGGGAAAAATTATGTTAGTCCTATTGCAATTATTCATAAGTTGTAAACAACATGAGCTGCAAAAGTACTACTCCAGCCGTTTGATATTTTAAGTCATTTTGGCTTTTTGCTAGTCAAACTTTTTTAAGATTTGACTAAACTTATAAAAAGGTTTAGTAACATATGCAAAATCAAATTAGTTTTATTAAATGTAACATTGGATATATTTTTATAATATATTTGTTTTCTATTTAAAATGATGTTATATTTTTCTACAAGCTTAGTCAAACTTAAAAGTTCGACTAGGAAAATAGTCAAAGCGATTCCTAATACGAGGCGGAGGAAGTATAACAAAAGATAACTATTATAGAATGCTATTTGCCATTAGATGTTCGATCCATCGAAGCCGCTAATTTTCAAATAGAGAAAGTTTCATTCCATTACCCTTGTGTCCTCCTTCTTTGTTTCTTCTTTTATATTTTAATGATACTGTAGGTGACCTTTGCATGGACAAAAGGGCTATCACCATATTTTAAACACATGGTCGACAAAGGCTAAATATTAACTTAATAACAAACAAGGTTCAAACCCAGATCACTCATAAGCAGTATTATCAGTTTTCGCAAAAAAAAACTATGAAATCAAAACAAATTTTGTCAAAACTTTCAAATCCTTGTTCGATTTTTTTAACTATTGGGAAACCAAGTGGTTTTTGTTATCAAGATGGCCACAAAAACCAGGTCTATTTTCGTTGGTATCGTGAACCTTGACCTAATCTTTTAACAACTTTACTTACACAAATACTCTCTTCGGACGGAAATATTTGACATTATGGACCAACGAAATGACTTGCGTAGTATCTTTTGGCTATAGGAAATGACATTTAAAACCGATTAGAGTGAGTAGTCAATTATACTCCACTAGTTAGCGTGCACGTGCAAAGCATGTCATGAGCTAAATATGAATTAAGTTTAATATATTGCAAGTGATTATTATAGAATATCATAAGATTTTCAACTTTCCAAGTCACTTACATAATACACAACAATTAATCAAATATCTTTTATCATATATGCAATTTACATGTAAAGTTTCCTTTACAATAACTCTAATTCAACTTATATATTAAGCTCAAAAGTAAAGAGAGATCAGAGGTTACACCCCAGCAAACCAAATTTCATGAGTGCATAATAATAGACGAGTGCACCTAAATACATGATTGTCGTTACTACATATGCAAGCCTAGAAATCTACTGACTTCCGTGCTGGCACATTTCTTTGATGGACACCAAACAATTGAGTAAGGTATGGACACGTTATGCATAGAAGCCTTCCTCAGTTTCCTCTTCTACAAACAATCGTGTACGTCACCTGTAACTTCTAGCAGTACAGAAGACAGACTTAACAATTTCCTTTGTATTAATTCTTTACTTGGTGCTTAGCAATCACCCGTAGAGTCTACCTGAATCTCTTGCGATCTAAAACAAAATTCATGGGCATCACAGTTCAACGAAAGATCATGAACAAATGTAGAAGAAATAAAATTTAGATAGGTTGTGACTAAAACAACAAAATCTTGCAGAGAATCACAATAATATCTGAAATAATCATAACATCAAATTTCATAGAACCACAGTTAAATTCAATCAATCTTCTGGTGATTGGGATGTCAGTCTTGACAATCTTTAAATCTAACACGACTTATCAATTTACAATAAGTGGCATAAAAAGGTATCTAATCAACTCTATAAAATTCTTCATCCAGGATGTTATAGATAAATGAAAGAACTGTTCAAAGTATGACGCCATGTACTGGAATAAAAACCAAACAATTTCTATACTTGATGTCTAATGTCATGATTTTAGCTAGTACATGCAGCTTTAGAGTAAGAGAAAGAGCTCAGAACTTAATGGTCATTTGTAAAGAAATCTGAATTTCAACATCATAGTTTCTACAAAAATGTACAGTGTCATTTAAGTTTTACAGAAACAAATCCAGAGCAAGTACAACTCAAACCTCGTAATAGGATGTTGTCCAATAAATCCAGCTTGGTTCTTAGGATCCACAACAGCTTGAACTGATGTATGGGAATAAATTCAGACCAACAGCTTGAATAATTTGAACCTGTAAGTAAATAGTAAAGCTAATGTTCATATTCACTAAAATGATACTGAAGTATAATTTTGTACTATTTATGGAAAAATAATTACCTATAAATTAACAATAGCACCGCAATGAATAGTGGATCTGGCATGTACCTCCTTTCAATCTTCTAGTAGAAAATCAATACTGGATATGAGAAACAGTGCATAAATATGAGAAACAGGTTTGTATAATCAATTGTGGAGTTGCAAAAAAAAAAACCAAGATCAACCAATGACTATGTAATGTAATTTTAATTTGACAATTTATATGAATTCGGGGTAAATAGTACTTTTGGTGATGCTGGGCGAAGTACATGTAAAATAGCAACACCCCTCTGTTTGAAAAACTGTACAAAGGTATCGATGACATTCTCACCAGTTCACCCAAAAAAATCGCAAGATACACAAAGGTGGCCTGAATGTATAAATTTTCACTGATCAGGACTCATGAGGACACAATAACACATTAGAATTAGAAAGAGCTATAATCATGTTCAGTGGTGCCGGCCCGGCGAAAAATAATCATGTTCAGTGGCAGTCATCAATATATAGAAAACAGTACTAATTGGGGAAGGCAACTAATTTTAGGAGTAATTACCATAGTATAATTACAAGGATGGCTCCATTCACGTAGCATGTTTTAAAAGCAGAGCCACTTAGAAGTACCTATATGCCACGGCAATTTAGATCTAATTTCTGCACATTCATAGTTCCATTTGCAAAATTTGTGATCAGAAAGTGGTCTACCTAGGTGAATACATCATCCAACTTTTAGTATCAATAAGGATAAATTATCCGAAGGATGGCTCTGGACGTTTTTACTAACAATCTCCACCCTTGAAACAACTTCTAGTCTAAGAACATTCTTTCACTCTAATGACTCATATTTGTTGTTAGCGGTGCATAACTCAATCTTGTAGTAACAGTATAGTTTTTTCTTTTTTTTTTTGCTATCAAGGGATGCATTTAAATTTAACAGTATAACATGGACGATTATCGGTAGGTACCTGCTTCCAAATTTCAGGTAATCACCAAACCTTCATTATCATGTAAGCAATGGATTCTAGAATCCCATCTGTAGAACAGAAAAGGTTTCTCAAAAAATTTAGTTCAGGCCCAACCTGCAGTTCCTGAGTTATCATATAACAGATTGATTACTAATAGTTTCAACACAAACTGGCTGCGAAAGGGCTAAAATAGAAAGCTCAGAGCACATATGAAACAGGTTGACACTATATTATCGTGTTCATGTGTTGATGCTATATTATTACGCAAGCATGCATATACGGAAATCTTGTGGTGTTCGTCTTTGGGAGGAAGCAAAGAATCCAGAATTAGCAAATTCGTAACAGGTAAAACAAAACACAGACCTCCTAATTTCGAGCAGCAGAGTTCCTCGATCACTGTTGCCGTAGGTCCGGGAAGCTCCTGTAAGTCACCCATGAGGTCGATCTGCGTTCACCGGGACTCTAGGAGGACAGCCGTTGTGTTGGAGGCCGGACGGTGCAGTCGTATGAGCCATGGAGGACAGCCGTCGGGGTTCCTGCTCATGGTGGTGACGCCGTGGACTCGGAGTGCGCTGCCCCCTGCCGAGCCCGTCATGCGAAGCGCCTCCTGGAACTGCCCAGCCCCCGTCGTGGCCGAAATCGACCAGAACAACCCGCCTCGATCCTCCAGGTTGCACGGCGCGGGCGGCAGGTTGTTTTTTTTATTTTTCTTTTAAGGTCTGCCTCGGCCGCGCCGCCGCGCAGCCGAGTCTGGTTGCCGCCGCGCCGTCGCCTGCGCCGACACGCCCGGCCGCTGCCTCGCCGACGTCTTGGCCTCCCCGCCGAGTGGCCGCGCCGTCACCCACGCCATATGCGCGGCATCGCCGTCTCCGCCCGACCCAAGCCACCATGGCGCCGGGCCGAGCGCCGACGTGCGATCACCCCAGCGGCCGCGTCGTCTCGACCGAGTCGGCCGCCGCCTTGTGGTCCCTCCTCTGCTTCCCCATCCACCGATGCACCACTTCTCCACTGCTCCCATCGCCATGCCGCCACACGACGTCGACGCCACGCCAAGCCGCCCGGCCGCGCCGCCGCGCTCGGCCGCCACCCAGTCGCCGCGCGCCATCTCCGCTCTCCCTCTCTTGCGCGTGAGGATAAGAGAGGAACGAGAGAGAGCAGGAAGAGATGAGACCGCGCGCGAGAGAGAGGACAGACCTCCTCGGACGGCGGCGGCTGGTTTCACCGCCAGCGGTGAAGGGGGAGGGTGCGGTGGGGACGGCGGTAGCGACGAGATGGGGAGTACGACGGCGATGGGCGATTGCTCCGCTGCAGCGATGGGGGGATGGAGGAGCCGACGGGAGTTAGCGCGATGGAAAAGGAGTGGGACGACGGGCGCTAATCCATTTTGCTAACCCCGCTGCTAATTATCTGTTAATCCATATACTAAACAACTGGTGCTTTTTATATTAGTCTAGATGACAGATGGGTCCTGAGTGATAGTAGATCTGAAGGATTGCATGATTGAGGATGAACTCGTACTTTTTAGATTAGTATAGATATAGATAAGCACTAACTAGTACTTCATAAGCACTAACTGGGCAGGGTGATTCAAGAAACTACAACCAACATATTTGTTATCTTGTGTTTTATTAAAGCAAAAGGAGGGTGCACTAATCATCTCATCTTCTTTTAAAAGGAAATGAGTAATAATTCAATTTTTCATAAGTGGTAATCCCTCTGTTCAAGTTTGATCTTCATATTTTAGCCTGAAACACAGACCAAGAACAGTAAACGTACTTATCATCTTTCTAATACTCCCTCCGTACTCGAATTAGAAATCGTCTTGGGTGTCGCTCACGTTTTCGCAAAGGATGTTGTGGTACACTCGGAGGATAGGGGGTGGATGTGTTTGCCCCTACGCGTGCATGCTCGCCGTCCGCAGTAATCAAGCGCATTAATCGCGCCTATTCGTTACACTCGCCAGGACTCTGTTCAGCAAATCAGCGCTCGCATCGCCTCGCTATGCACGCTCGATTTGACCGTGCAAAATAGAAAAAACAATGCATCAGCGAAGGGATTCGAAGCCTGCCCTCATGCCTCAAGGCGCGGCTGCCTAACCAATCTAGCTACGAACAATTCTTGTTCAAGGAAACCCGCAGCCTTATTTAATAAGGGCAAACATGTAAGAATACCCCTTAATTAATGAGTCATTGGTAAGCACAATCATGTCCAAAACGTCTTCTACTACAAGTACGGAGGGAGTATATTTCAGGCCAAAGAGCCATCATGGCTATCATAAGAGCAAGGCTAATAGCATAGCCCGCTACTGGCTAATAGCCCATAGCTAAAGCCACAACTACTAGTACAATAGATTATCCATTGGCTGACTACATCTCATAATCAAATAATTAATTATAACATGCACATATCAATGTATATAATCAAGAGTGAATTGTATCCTTGTAGCTATTTGTGTTGTGAGAGATAAACTTTTTGTTCACCAAACACCAAGATAATATCATAGATCATACCAGCCAAGTTTTTTGTACGTAGTATAAAAAAATACAAAGCACTAGTGTTTCATGGGCAAGAAGAGATCGCGAGGAAGGAGTAGATTTCCTAGCTGGTTTTTGTTGAAACGATGTGGCGTCTGAGTTTTTCACGGCCGAATTTTTCGCTCGCGCTCGCGTGGATCGGTACGTGGATGGAAGTCGAAGCACGCGGGTGGGGATGAGATCGTGCACGGACAACGGAGATGGATTTGCGCACGGTGGGAGGAAGGGGATAGCGCGCCGTGGGTAAAGTAGTTCACAGGATCGGCTAAGGACGTGTGGGTCCTACAAACCACGTTGTTTAGCGCTAGGGTCGGCTGCTTGCGAGAAATACTGCGTGGAGAGAAGTGCTAACGCTCGGCGACAATTTAGTTATCCGCTTCATTCTCTCTCATCCTTTCTCTCTCATCTACATAGGAAAAATGATGATGTGGCACTATTTTGGAGTCCGCTCAGTCAGCATGTTGTACCTGTTCTAATGGCCCATGCATGCATGACGGAACCAATGATCTGTAGCCAACTGTGATTGCTATTAATTTTGCATGCATGCAAGGCGTTTTTTTAGACCGCTTCCGAGGCGTCCGCGCGGCAGCTGATTAATTTCACACGCGAACTAGAACGGCCAGCGCATCGGATGAGATGCAATGGCCGCCGACTGCAAATGTGATGATCAAACTTGAAAATCCAATTTTTTGAAATATGATGATCAGACTTGAACAGATATAGTATTATATAGTTTGTTTTTAGTCCATATTTAATGGATAGATTTATATTGCCATATGGATAATAGCACTATACCATATTGTCTACACGTGACACTAATAGGTTGTGGGTGCCATCATTGTAGTCTAGGAGGGACACATAAGGTATATTTAGGTTCGTTGGTCTTGATTTATATACACTCTAAAATATTTTGACAGTTAATTATTAGGATCAATATAAAATAATAGTCTAAATTATCTACCGAAATTTTCGTTTAACTTGAGAAATACACAAAAGGCTCAAAAGTTTATCAAATTTCGAACACTTTCGGTTTGTATCAGCACTCCTGCATTTGGGTCATTCACTTAGGGTGTGTTTAGTTCACATCAAAATTGGAAGTTTGATTGAAATTGGAACGATGTGACGGAAAAATTGAAAGTTTATGTGTGTAGAAAAGTTTTAATGTGATGGAAAAGTTAAAAGTTTTAAAAAAAAATTGAAACTAAACAAGACCTTGTTGTTAAAAACGTGGGCGTGCACGGCCTAACGTTCCCTAACCGTAATATATCCCTTCCAACCGTCGTATCCGTCGCCAAGTCTGACGGCCGTCCGCCACGAAAGCCCTTCTTTCTCCACTCTACCGCGGACCAGGCCCGCCCGTAAACGGACAAACACGCGGACGCGAAGAAAATATTCGGGAAAGGAAAAACGAGAGAGAGAGGGGCAAAAAGGGGAAAGGCGACGCTACCCACACCCCACCCAACCCAAGGCCGCGGAAGCGCAAGAGAGGCTCGGCTCGGCTCGGGGTCTCGGGGAGCTTCTTTCTCTCTCTCTCTCTCTCTCTCTCTAGGAGTCTCGGTTCATGGTGGCTAGCTAGGGTTTCGCGGCCCCGCGACGTCCAGCGACTGAAGGAAGCGTCCCCGGCGGCGGCAGAGGGAGGCTCTCTCGTTCGCTTTGGAGGCTCCGGAAGAAGAAGGCGGCGGCGGGGGCGATGGGGGAGCAGGAGCGGCGGGAGGCGGAGGGCGGCGGCGGCGGCGGCGAGGCCGCGGCGGCGAACACCAGCGGTATGCAGGTGAGGAGGGGCCAAACCCAACTTTCTCGGCTGCTCTTTTAGGGTTCGGGGGGAGCTTCTACTGTTGGTGTGCTGGTTGGGTAGATCCACTCGTGCGTGGCTGCTGGTTGAGCCCTGGGCGTGGTTGCGTGTGGCGATTCCCCATTTCTTCTAAGGCTATGAAATAGTTGGTCCTTGGAGGGAGAGCTGTTACAGTTCAGCTTGGTGGAGGTTGGGAGTGTCTGGACTCTGGAATAACGCGTGCCCTAAGATCCAAGTTTGATGATTTAAGAGGGGGTCACTTTGGTGTTTTATGAAGGATAAGTCACCTTATTTTCGTGTTGGACTATTAGTACCAAGTGAGTTGTTGTGAGTTTATTCTGGTGAAGAGGATGAGGGGGGGGGGGGGGAAGCTTTTGATGCTTTGCTCAATCCACTAGCTGCGGTACCTGTATAAGCAGACTTGGAACTAACTAGATAGGCTTAACTTCAGTGCTGCTCCTCGTGACTTAGTTTCGTTCTGAATGAACTCTATGCTGCTAAGCGAGGGCATAATCTTTACTTTCTAGTATAGTGGATTTGCATATCTAAGAAAAATAACTCGAAACGGATACATATGCATCGTTTATTGTCATATGAACAAACACATAAGTTATGTATTGTACTGATCTTAGTTGGAAACTGCGTGATGATGGAGGTTCCGTGCATTTCATGGTGAACTTGGAAATTCGCTTGCATTTTAGCTGGGAATGTATACTGGGTTGAGAAAATTGAATAAATTTGATCACCATTGTTTGTTGAAGAACTTTCACCACCTAAGCGCTGCTTGAGTTATTGTCATCAAACATTAGTGCTTCTAAACCCAGTATAAGGGTGGGACTTTGCCCATTATGCTGGGACTTAGTGAGTTGCTCATTATGCTGGGACTTTGTTGTAGTTGGTAGGGCCATTGTGGCTAGAGACTAGAGAGATAAGGGTGGGTTGGAAATTGAGGATATCTTATTTCCTTTTGACATACTCCATTTGGTGATGGTTGCCTGTATTGGGGCACTACCCAAAGAAACTTGTAGTTACTATCAGTTGATGGGTGATTATGTTGGTGACTGTATGTTGCTTTTACTGTTGAACAATCCTGTCGGTTCATTTGGTTAATAATCCTACAACGAATTACCAGGGTATTAACCCCCATAGCATTCATCACAGCAGTCTGATACCGTAATACACATGAAGACATGAACAATGGCAATTGAATTGTCTGTCGATTGGCAGGTATCAATTCACCTACTGGAATACCTGCATGTTGCAATGGGAATTTCCAGTGCTTCTTTGGAGATTGGGAGTGGGAGAAAAATAAATGCCTCTTTAGGGAATGCTTAAGCGAAAAAGACATGCCTCTTTGTGAATATAATAAATAAAAGT